CTCATGGGTTTAGGGTTTAGGGTTTAAGGGTTTAAGGGTTTAGGGTTTAAGGGTTAAGGGTTTAGGGTCATTGCCTACAGCCTGGCAGCAAGGAGTCCAGATGCAAAAAAGGGTTTAGGGTTTAGGGTTCTCTTTGTATGGTTCGCCCTGGAACAGCCCCTGGCAACTTCCCGATCTTGGGAGGTGCTGCGGACAACTACCTCTACTTGGACCCGAAGGCAGCTGTCCTCCTCTTCTGGCTCGCCATCCGAACCCTAAAATTTATATTTTAGATTTAATGTTGAGGGTTTTGGGGTTTAGGGTTTTAGGGTTTAGGGCGTTAGGGGTTAGGGTAAGCCCGAAGCACAGTGTGCGCCCAAACTTGAGCCTTGCGGACTTGAGAGGTGAGGTGTCAGCCAACAATTTTCAATGAAGCGGGAGATTCTGCAGATGTCGGATCACGGACGACCGCCGGTGCACGTGTAGGCAAAAAACCTTGCATCTTCTTTCATTGAAGTGCCTTCTGCTTGCCATAGAAGACCCCCCCCCCAAACAGAAAAATAGAGCAAACCTGGGAACAGCTGTTACCCAGATCTAGTCCAGGCGCCGGCGACGGCGCGGGGCGCCGACGTGCCGAGAAGCTCCGCCGCGCTCGAGTTCACTTGCGGCTTCGGGTTGTTGGGTTTAGGTCTCTCGGGCTTTGGGGTTTTAGGGTGTTCTAGGAACCTGAAGCCCCAAATCCTGAACCCTGAGCCCAAAGATATTCCAGGGTGTCGTTGTTTCTTGGGCAGGAGGGAGAAAAGTAGGATTCGAGACCGTCAGGTGTTGGCAGCTTAGGACCAAAGGGATTTCGGGGAGGAGCTTCTGATATTGTTACAATCTTGCCAGCACATGCCATCTCGAACTCGCAGAAGGCGATGGTAGACCAGAGCTGCTTCGCCCAGGTAGACATCGTGCTAAACAAACCTCGTCGCCTAACATGCTGTTGTGACGCCACGACGTCCCACCAGGAATACGAGCGCCCTTCCGGCGCGCGGTGGCGTTCGCGCGGGGCTCAGGGCTTTCAGCTTTCGTCCTTTTTTCCAGCTTTTTTCCTGCAGCTCCTGAGGCGAGCTCTTTGCACTCCTTTGTCAGAGGGTGCAGGATGGTAGTGTCAATCTCGCCCAAGAAGCTGCGTTACCCCCACCAGATCCTCAGCCCCGTTCATGAGCGGTTTAGGAACGACAGGTAAGTTGCCGTGATGTCTCGACAACGGTGATGCTAGAAACCCATACCCTAGAACTCAATGGATGTTTCTTATCAGCTGCCCAGCAAAGGCCCGAAAATCTCCCTGCCCCTCAGCCCTCTCCGCCTTGAGCCCTGAGCCCTCAGCCGTAAGCAAGCCCTCTTGGCTTTGAAGCGGGGTTGGGAAGGGCGGGTTACTGGGATTACAAGGGGATTTCTAGGGGGGATACGAAGTAGACTCGCTAAGTCAAAGGGGCTTCCACCACCGGCTCCTTGGGTCCTTGAATCATGACTTCCCAGTTCCGCCTGAGGTGGTGGGCGGCGGGAATTACGTCGAACACCAGGCGCTGCAGGACCAGACGATGGGAGGTTCTTTAGAAGTTCCTTTGAGTTTGTACGTCTACCTAGCACCCCCTAGAATCCTCATGAGAATCCCAGTAACTCTACGTGACTAAGTCAAAAGCGCTTCCAAGTTGATTAGCGTTGACTGGAATGTAGTTTGAAAGTTCCACAGGTCTGTGGACGATGGCCCTGAGCTGGTTCAGTTTTTGGTAGGGACCACATTCCACCCCAGGGGTCCAGGCCCTCAAGCACAAAGCTGTGGGACCTTAGTCTGCGACACATGCCGATACGTGGTTCGCTTTACCCAAAACCCCCCCCCATTTGACCGCTTTTGGCGAGTGAATCAACCCTGAACCTAAAAATCCTCCCAACCCGAAACCCCAAACCCTATAAACCCTACAAACCCTACAAACCCTATACACCCTTAAACCCTACAAAGCCTATAAACCCTACAAACCCTACAAACCCTATAAACCCTGTAAACCCTATAAATCTATCAACCCTATAAACCCTGCAAACCCTATAAACCCTGTAAACCCTATTAACCCTACAAGCCCTATAAAACCTAAACCCTAAACCCCAAACCACACCCTTGCCCCATCTAAGCCCAGAGGACTGGGCCACCAGCACCGGGCGGCAGGCTCGTCCTTGCGTGCTGGGCTAAGGGCAGCCTCGGAACGCCCCTCCCCGGCCAACAGGTCCTCTACGGGGCCACCGACCTCGTCCAGCCCTCGCAGTTCGCCGATGAGCTCAGCCACCTCGGGCAGAACCAGGGCCAGGGGCTCCTTGGACTTAAGGGTTTAGGGTTTAGGGTTTAGGGTTTAGGGTTTAGGGCAGAACCAGGGCCAGGGGCTCCTTGGACTTAAGGAAGCCACGAGTCGGTTCTCTGGGTTGAGGGTTTAGGGTTAGGGGTTTAGGGTTTAGGGTTTGGGGTTTAGGGTTTAGGGTTTGGGGGTTTAGGGTTAGGGGTTTAGGGTTTAGGGTTTGGGGTTTAGGGTTTAGGGTTTGGGGTTTAGGGTTTAGGCTTGCCAAAGGCCTTTCTCAGTTGACTTCAGGAGTCTGGGTTCAAAAGAAGGGTTTCGGGTTTAGGGACCATAATGTCTTCAATACTGTTTGATATTGTATATGTACAGGGTTTAGGATGTATTCGGGTTCAGTCTGCTCAGTTCTCATGGGGTTGAGACATCCCGCAGCGCGTGTCCCTAAACCCTAAACCCTAAACCCTAAACCCTAAACCCTAAACCCTAAACCCCAGGCCCTGTAGATCTGGGAGTTTCTGAATTCCTGCCGACTGTAGCTCAGAAAAGAACCTTGGAGGTTCATGGTACCTATTACCCAATTCTACTTGTACTGGCAACCCACTCAAAAGCCCCTTAAGTGCCCTAAGAACTAATATGCTCATCTGAGTACAGTTATTGTTGGCTGATTAGTAAGCCCCTGAAGTGCCCTAATGTGGTTGTAAGTACTAGGATGCCCAGTAGTACCCTTATTCCCTTTTTGGGGGGTCTAAGTTCCCTTATAAGCCTCTGTAAGCAAAAAAGGGCGCTCAATCCTAGGTTACTGGGCAACCTAGAGTACAGTTATGAGTACACTTATAATTGGCTCATAAGTACCATGAACCTCCAGTTACGGCTTCCAAATCCCAAGGCAGGGCGGAGCGCTGCCAGATCTGAGCTAGCGGCTGCCAGCAGAGACCCGCCCAATCTTTCGCGGACAAAAAGATGCGCCAGGAGAGGGTTCGGGTTTAGGGTTAGGGTTCAGTGTTAGGGTTTAGGGTTTAGGGTTTGGGTTTAGGGTTTAGGGTTTAGGGTTTAGGGTTTAGGGTTTAGGGTTCGGGTGTAGGGTTTTGTTTAGGGTTTGGGGGGAGAGGTTGCGTGCCAGAGGCCTTTCAAAGGACCCAACAGCCCAAAAACCCCCTCCGCAAGACCAAAACCCTAAACTCAAAAGTCCTATACTCCGCACAATCTGGACTTTCGTCGAGCTAGGCGGGAGCCATCAAGTCCTAATCCCCAGGTTTTGTTCCTCAACGCCGGCTGAAGGCTGAGAGCTTCGAACCCTCTGGCATTCAGCATCTGGCGCTTCCTGCTGGCCGTGCCGGGGGGCCCTTGCTCCCTTCAGGGAGTTGAGTTGCTGCCCTAAGAACCCAAGGGGTGTTTAGGGTTTTGGGTGTAGGTTTAGGGTTTACGCCGGGGGGCTTGCTTCTTTCCGATCTCGGCACAGACCTCGCTGAGCCGCGAAAGGGGTTTTGGATTTGGGGTATAGGGTATAAGCTTTGGGGTATAGGGTTTAGGGTTTAGCGAAGCCCCAAAATCCTCGCTGAAGGGCCATGGATTAGTGGTGAGTCGGGTCATAGGCATCCTTGATCATACAACCAGCTACAACCCCAAAGTGTTCCGCTTCTGATAGGCCCAAAGTGTTCCCCTATTTACAACCCCAGATCAAAGGACTCATGAACCTCCATGGCAAAGCTGACAAAGTTTGAAGCACCGACGTCCTCAACCCTTTGAATACCGCGGGCTGCCTAAACCCTCAACCCTAAATCGTTGGAAAGAAGCTTCGCCACACAAATCCCGAAGGCGCTTCTCCACCCAACCTCTACGTAAATGGTCCGAGAACCCTGCAGCCCGACTAGAGTTGAGGGTTTAGGGCTTAGGCACTTCAGAGAGCCTTGGCGCAAAAGGTTCAGGGTTTAGATTTTCGGCTTCATTCGGGTTGTTCGTGGCTTGGTCCTCAGTTCTTGCACGGAAGCAGCTTCCAGGTTCAACAGAAGATGTCCTGAACGCATTCGGTGGACAATTCGTTCTTCGGGCCTGCAAGCTGTTTCAAGCAGGCAAAAGAAAGGGGGGAGGTAGCTGCCGAAGACTGGACTGGCGCTTGCCGCTGGCTCACAGGACTTCGTTTGTTTCAGATGGCCGAATTCACAGAGGAAACTGTCTTTTGGGCCCACTTTCTTGCAGTTTTAGTTCAAACCCTTGGAGGCCTGCTAGCCATCCCCCGAAACACCCTTGAGAAGTTTCGTGTGCGCAGTTGTAGGGTTACAATACAGGGTTTAGAAGGCCTACAGCCTACTTAGAGCCCCAGTTACATCCACCTAATAATTCAAGCAGTGCCTGTGACAGCAGCTGCAGCCATGCTTCCTTGACTGGCGCCTTTAGAGCCATCGCCCAGGCCGTTGGATTTTTTTGCATTGGAGGTGTCCTTTTGGAAGGTGCCCTTAGCTAGAAGGAGTAGGTTGCAAAATAAGAGGCCCCCAAAAGTGCTCAGAGTGGAAAGGAACCCCCATGTCGTCCCTAAACCCTAAGCCCAAAGCCCTAAACCCTAGACCCTGGAGCATGGTTAGACGGGTGGCAAAAAAGCCGAAACCCTAACCCTAAACCCAAAACCCGAAACCTTAAACCCTAGACCCTAAGCCTTAAACCCTAACCCTAAACCTTAAACCCTAAACCCTGGAAGGCATGGCTGCGGTCGTCACGGGACCCTTCGCTAGCCACCCGCCCGGCCCATCATTCGGCGCCCTGTTCGGAACAGGATTCGGGAGTTCGGAAGAGGGCCCTTGTAGGGTTTAGGGTTTAGGGTTGTGGGTTTAGGGTTTAGGGCTCTTGTAGCTGTTTGGCGCTCGCATAGGCTCTGCTCAGCGACAGCATCCCTTATCAGTTGGGGCAATGGTCCTGCAACTGCAATCTCACGGCGGTTTGGGGGATATTCTTTAACAACGTCCGCACAGCAGTCAGCAAACCAGGCTTCTAAGCCCTCATACCTCGACTGGTGCCACTTAACGAAACCCTATGGAGGTTCATGGTACTTATTAACCCATTGTAACTGTAGTTAGAATTGTACTTATAACCATATGAGGGCACTCAAGGGGCTTGTAAGTGGGTTATAAGTACAGTTATAATTGGTTAATGAGTACCATGAACCTCCAAGTAAGCCAAATCCAGGGTTGAGGGCTGACGGGGTCCAAAGACTGTTTCGCCTTGGTCTCTGTGCGTCGCTCAGGCAACCCTGGAACTTTTCACACAGTGGCCTGGGCGCGAGGAATGGGTTTTCATTTGGGTTCAGCAAATAGGGTTGAAGGTTGAGGGTTTAGGGTTTACGGATTAGGGTTTAGGGTTGAAGGTTTAGGGTTTAAGGTTTAGGATTTAGGGTTCAAGGTTCAGGGTTCAGGGCTAGGTAAAGGCGATTTCGGTTGTTTTCGAGGGCGGGGCCGCGCTGGAGACCTCAGTCAGCTTTAGCCTTTAGCAGCATCAGTGCCAGTGACAGAGCCGACGGCCCCAAGAAGGTTGAGGGTTTAGGGTTTAGGGTTTAAGGTTTAGGGTTTGGGGTTTCGGGAAACCTAGTTACGAAAGTTCGCGGTGCAAGGCTTGAGCGGTAAAAGGATTTTGGTCACCATCCGCCCGATCGTTGCGTGCGCTTTTTTGTTGTATCAACCTTGATAGAATCACGCGATTCGAGGGGTTTTGGGGGGGGCCAACATTGAAAGCACTACACACATATCAGGGTCCATTTGGAGAGAGAACAAGACATACAAACATAGGCTCGCAAAACCCTAACCCTGAACCATGAACCCTAAACCCTAAACCCTGACCCTGAACCCTGAACCCTAAACCCTAAACCCAACCCTAAACCCTAAACCCTAAACCCTAAACCCTAAACCCTAAACCCCACGATTTCGATGGAACCGTCCCGGCCGAGTGGCTCGAGGTGGCAGGTGTTCCAGCACCGGGAGGTGTCGGGAGGGCTTTGCTTCAAGGGTCCTCTAGGGTGGGTTTGGGCTTTAGGGTTTGGGGTTTGGCGTTTGGGGTTTCGGGTTTACGGTTCAGGGTTCAGGGTTTAGGGTTTAGGGTTGTTTTCGCTTCCTGCTCTTGTGGTTTAGTTGGGGTTGCGGGGTCCCTTTGCGTGGTTTCAGGGCTTTTTTAGGACTTTAGGGTTTCAAGACTTGGGGGTTCAGACTTTGGGCCGGGATCGTGTGCATCGGGCATTCACATGCCTTGCGGCTTCCAAGTGTCGGGTCGGGTTTAGGGTTTAGGGTTTAGGGTTTAGGGTTTAGGGTTTAGGGTTTTGTCCTCATCTGGTAGAATTGCCCTTGGAATGATATTTTCTCTGCATTGGTTTTTGTTGGTTTTGGTTTCGGCCGCATCGCGGGGTTTGGGGGTGTGGGGGTAAAGGGTTCGAGGGTATAGGCAGTACAGTGTTTGGGCTTCAGGGTGCAGGCTTGCCATCCATCCGCTTTAACGGCATCCCCAAGTACACCTCTACACCTTCTCCCCGCGAGCCCAAAAGCCCTATTCCTTGGGAGGGAACGAAAACTCTGAAAGCCCTGAACCCTGAACCCAAAACCCCAAACCCTAAACCCCAACCCCCCCTAAACCCTAAACCCTAAACCCTAAACCAGAGTTAGGCAGCTATGCCGCCCAGCGGCTCCGCCGCCTACTCTTGGAGACGAGCCGCGCACGCGCTTGGAGAGGGGTGCGGGGATGCCTCCCTAAAGAGTGGGGATTCAGGGTCTGGGGTTTAAGGTATGTGATTAGGGTTTGGGGTTTAGGGTTTAGGGTTTAGGGTTAGGGGCTTGCCTTCGATGCGGGTGCCAAACCTTGGATGGATGTTGGACTCTCCGTGTGCCTCGAGGGAATGAGCCCTGAACCCTAAACCCTAAAACAGAATATGTAAACTCTAAACCGTTCAACCTGCAGAAGCCTCTAAAACTGTTTGGCCCGAACCGCTAAACCCTAGCCCGAACCCCCAAACACAAACCCTAAACCCTAAATCCAGCAGCAAAAGATGCTTTTCTTGATGCATAGCCTTGTCCCAACAGCAACAACAAAGGCATTGATGTCGTCGTTATCGCAAAGGTTTAGGGTTTAGGGTTTGGGGTTTAGTCCTAACATGTCCCCTACCTGGCGGACGACGTCGGGGCTCGAAGTGTGTGTAGCGGCGCCTGGCAGAAGCCAAAGTTACCTGCAATCCTTCGCCCCCCCCCCCCCCCCCCCCCCGAGAAAAAAAGGCCGAGATACCTGGGGTTTAGGGTTTAGGGTTCAGGGTTCGGTTTAGGGTTTAGGGTTTAGGGTTTAGGGTACAATATGCCTGCTTCGTAGCAGCGAGGGGGCAGCCTGTGGCATCATGTCCCTCACACTCGAGGTGAGCCTGCTAAGTGGCAGGGCGGCTTCACTGGAAGCAGGGCGGGATGAGCTCGTAGAAGCATTGAGGAGCAGGGCACAGAGGACTTTGGGGGTTGGCAAGGGAAGGCTTCTGGACCCCTCTGGACGTGTTCTCGATGCAGCCGCCACGCTTGAGGAATCTGGTCTGCAGAGCGGCGATGTGTTGACCTTGCAGATGAGCTGCGTTCGCGTGAGCGGCAACTCGAGCGCTTTTGCAGCCATTCTGGGCGATGGGTCCGTGGTGACCTGGGGCGATGTGTGTGGTGGCGACAGCCGCGCCGTGCGACATCAGTTAACGGACGTGCAGCAGATCCAAGCTACTAGCGCGGCTTTTGCTGCTATTCTGGGCGACGGGTCTGTTGTAACTTGGGGCCATGCTGGCGCTGGCGGCGACAGCAGCGCGGTGCAAGCTCAGCTCCAGAGAGTGCAAGAAATCCAAGCTACCGACAGTGCGTTTGCGGCCATTCTGGACGACGGGTCAGCTGTAACCTGGGGTTGTCTTGGCCGCGGTGGCCACAGCAGACTTGATCAAGATAGACTGAAGAATGTGCAGCGGATCCAGTCCACCGCAATGGCTTTTGCTGCAATACTGGGCGATGGGTCTATTGTGACCTGGGGCCGTGCCGAAAGTGGCGGCGACAGCTGCGCCGTGCAGCATCAGCTGAAGGATGTGCAGCAAATCCAAGCTACCGACGATGCTTTTGCTGCCATTCTGGGTGATGGGTCTGTTGTGACTTGGGGCGCTCCTAGACGTGGCGGCGACAGCTGTGCTGTGCAAGATCAGCTGAAGGACGTGCAGCAAATCCAAGCTTCTGAAGACGCTTTTGCTGCCATTCTGGGCGATGGGTCCGTTGTGACTTGGGGCGATTTTGGTGCTGGCGGCGACAGCAGCGCGGTGCAAGCTCAGCTCCAGAGAGTGCAAGAAATCCAAGCTACCAGCAAGGCTTTTGCAGCCATTCTCGGCGATGGGTCTGTGGTGACTTGGGGGGATGCTGCGTGTGGTGGCGACAGCCGCGCCGTGCAACATCAGTTAACGGACGTGCAGCAGATCCAAGCTACTAACACGGCTTTTGCTGCCGTTCGGGGCGATGGGTCTGTTGTGACCTGGGGCCATTCTCGAATGGGCGGCGACAGCAGTGCTGTGCAAGATCAGCTTGAGGGTGTGCAGCAGATCCAATCTAGCGGGTCCGCTTTTGCCGCCATTCTGGGCGATGGGTCTGTCGTAACCTGGGGTAATGCTTCCAGCGGCGGCGACAGCAGTGGTGTGCAGGGTCAGCTGAAAAATGTACAGCAGCTCCAAGTTACCAGGACTGCATTTGCGGCCATTCTGGGCGATGGGTCCAGCTTCGCTTCTGCCGCCGTTGAGGAAGATGGGCCTGCTGTGAGCTGGGGCCAAGTTAGGCCTTTGTGGCAATAGCACGGGAGTGCACCAGTAGCTCAAACGAAGCCACCAGCAGATACTGAGCCATCAGCAGATGTTGAGCGTTTGAGGCACTGAACAGAAAGGCCCACGTGTTGTCCTCCTCCCTGCACTTCTCCTCCCTACACTGGCCCTACACGGCAGCCACTTCCAAATCATTACAGGGAGTGCGATGCGGGAGTGAAGCAAGATGGGGGTTTACGAAAATAAGGGACCCCATATCTAGACCCCCAAATAGTAGGATCCTCTGAAAATGAGGACCCCAATAAGGTTCCCCGCTCAGTTGCTCAGATTCAGAGACAGCACCGAGTAATTTCGGAAACCCCCAAATACCCCTAATCTGAAATCCAAACTTTGGGGGGCCCTAAGCCTGACGGAACCTCATTGGTGCCTCGCCCTGCCTTGTCCAAATGTGATTAAAGCAAACCCCCCCAAAAACAAAACCTTAAACCCTGAACCTGAACCCTGGACCCGAACCCCTAAACCCTAAACCCTAAACCCTAAACCCTAAACCCTAAACCCGAAACCCTAAACCCTAAACCCTAAACCCTAAACCCTAAACCCTAAACCCTATCCCTAAACCCTAAACCCCGAACCGTAAACCCTAAACCCTAAAACCCGAACCCTTACCCTAAACAAAAACCCCTAAACCCAAGAACACACGAGGAAGCCACCTGAGCACAAGCTGCGCGAAGCCATGGAACTGGTGCCTGGGAACTTTTCAGCGGGGACATCTGGGGCTAGGATGCCTTGTGGTGTAGCCCTGAACCCTCGGCCCTGGACCCTAAACCCTAAATCCTAAACCCTAAACCCTAAACCCTAGACCCTGTTTTAGTGGCTCGGTCGGTTTTTTTTTGTACCTAGGGTGCCCTTTGTGTATCCCGAGGACACTGGGCAACCTAGTTGGGTTAGAGCTTGGGGCCAACAGCTTTGTGTGCACAAGGAGTTTAGCTTCGTGGAGGGTTTGAAGGTCATAGTCGTCATCGTCTTTAAGCCTCCCCCAAAGGGGTACCCCCCAAGAATACGTCAGATTCTCGAAGCCTCCCCCAGAGGGGTACCCCCAAGTAAACAAGACAACCAAAAAGCCCAAAACCTTGAGCATGCCTTATCCCAAGGTCCAGGGGTTCAGGGTTCAGGGTTTAGGGTTTAGAAGCCTCGTGCTTCCAGGTGCACAGCTGCGGACCGCAGGCACGAACAAAGCACTCAGGGACTTACTGGTGGGTTGATTTGGACGAAGCCTTTGCTCACTGGCTCTGAAGAAGGAGTTGTGTACGTCTTGAAGCCCTTCAAAGGGTTTAGGGTTAGGGTTTCGAGTAGGTTTTCGAGCTTTTTGCAGGGCTCAGGTTCAGGGATCCTTTAAAATTGTTACCGAATATAGGGTTTCGGGTTTAGGGTCTGGGGTCAAAGGCTAAGCAAGTTCTATGTTTTTTTTTTGGGGGGGGCGCGGGTTGGTGAAAGGCATGCTTGACGAATCTTTGAGGGCTTGGGGGTTTGGGGTTGGGTGGGGGTTGATTTGGGGGTTGATCGTAGAGAGCCTTTTCGGGCCTTGGAGGTTTTGGGTTTGGGGCCCGAATTTGCCTGAAGCCCTGCAGCCCCCCGAAAGGCTGAGCCTAAACCCAAAAACCCTAAACCCCCTAAACCCCCAAAACCCCAAAACCCTAAAACCCTGCAACCCTACAGCCCTAAAACCCTAAACCAGAAACGCTAAACTTCCTAAACCCTAAACTTCCTAAACCCTAAACCCTAAACCCTAACCCCTAAACCCTAAACCCTAAACCCTAAACCCGAAACCCTAAGCCCTAAACCCTCCAAGCAGGATGTTGGCGCCTGCGTCTCTGGAGTCTTAGACCTTCGTGTTCAGCTGCCGGCGACCCACACGCCGCTCAAGCCCTGACCATTGGTGAGGGATTTGGGGGTTTGGGGTTTAGGGTTTAGGGTTTAGGGTTTAGGGCCACCGGGCTGCTGTGAACCGAGGCCTGCTGTAAAAAGGGTTTAGGGTTTAGGGGTTTAGGGTTTAGGGTTTAGGGTTTAGGGGTTTTTCACGAACCAACTTCCCGATTCAACCCCTCAACTTCCCTGTAAGCCCCGAAAAGCCATGTAAATCCCAAAGGCCCTGTGAAGCCCTAAGCCCTTGTAGCTGGCAAAGACAGATGCAGAAAAAACAAGCAAGGGAGCCCCAATAGCTGGGCGAACTTGCCTCTTTCTTATACTTTAAGGGTAGTTTCTGGCCCCTGAAGGTGGTCCCTTACCTTCTTTAAACGCATGGGCCTGTTGGGTTCTGTAGGGTAAAGGGAAAGGGGGCTGTTGGGAGCACTAAGAAATTCTTGGTTTTGCATCCTTCTGGCCCTGAACCCTCAGGCTTAGGGAGCTCTGACTCGTCACATGGAACACGGCCGAAGCAGGAGGAGGAAGAAGAAGAAGAAGCAGAAGAAGAAGAAGAAGCAGAAGAAGAAGAAGAAGAAGAAGAAGAAGAAGAAGAAGAAGAAGAAGAAGAAGAAGAAGAAGAAGAAGAAGAAGAAGAAGAAGAAGAAGAAGAAGAAGAAGTAGAAGAAGAAGAAGAACAAGCAGAAGTAGAAGCAGAAGCGGAAGCAGAAGCAGAAGCAGATGCCTGCCAGGGCCGAGACCTTGCGCACAAACCAAATCAGAATTCTTCACGCCGGAACCCCCAAATCCTAAACCTTCAAACCCCAAACCCTAAACCCTAAAGGCGGCAAGCAATAAAGCTTAGGAGGGACCCTTAGAAGGGACCTCCTTTGGGGGTTATATAGGGGCTACTTAGGTACATAGGGACTATATATATATATATATGTTTTTTTTTCAGGTACATATAGGGGCTATATAGGGGAATAAGATTAAGGGTCCCTTCTAGGGGTCCCTCCTTATACCCTTATAAGATTCAGGGTCCCCTGTGGAAGAGGTCCACCCAAGTACCCCCTCGAAATCACGCAGCCTTGCGCAGGTTGGGCCTGCAGGTTCTCGCCGAGCTTCTGCTCCTGAGCCTGCGATTTTGGCGGTTTCTAAAGTAGGGGGTTACCCTTTTTTTTTTTGGGGGGGGGGGGGGGGTCCCTTTGGGGAGACTCTATTTTATTTGGGGTCTAAAAGGGGACCCCCCATGATGGGAGACACCCATTTCGGGTGTTTTTCGGGGTTGAGGGCATAAGGTGTATACCTTACATTATCTCGCGGCCCCAAGCTCTCAACACAAAGCCCTTCTGATAGTAGCTGATTTTTAACGGGTTCTTGGCCTCCTCTAAACCCCACCCTGCCCCTCAGGCGGCTGTTTCCGGCGATCATGGTGTCCCAGTTCGAGAAGTCTCACGTCTACGACTTGTTTCCGGAGAGCCTGGGGGTTCCACCATCCCTACACCCTGCACCCTACACCCTATACCCTACACCCTACACCCTAAACCTTAAACCCTAAACCCCAAACCCGAAACCTAAAAACGACACCGTTTTCCAGGAGACCGGGGACGTAGAGCAGGCGTCGTCCTTCCTCCACAGCCTGCTGAAGACCAAGGCCACGGCTCGCGTGGGTTTAGGGTTTGGGGTTTCAGCCAGAAGGTGGCTTAGGGTTTAGGGTTTAGGGTTTAGGATTAGGATTCAGGTTTTAGGGTTCAGGGTTTGGGGTTTAGGGTTCAGGGTTTTTTCTGGGGCCCCGAAGCCCTAGGCAGCCAAGTGTTGCCCTATACTTTCGTTTTGCTTGGTTCTGGGTGACCAAGAGCCGGTCGGTAAGTTGCCTTTGTTGGGCTAAACCCCAAAACCCAAAACCCAAAACCCAAAACCCAAAACCCAAAACCCTAAAACCTAAACCCTAAACCCTAAGCAAGGCGTCTGTCGGGCTGTGGGCCTGAAGTCTGGAGGCTTTGAAATCAGTGGACTAAACCCTGCTGCCTGCACCCAATCCCTATCCAAGGTACCTTCGTGGGTATTGGGGTGTCTGAACAGTTACCTCGATTGTCGCAGAAAACCCAAACACCCTAAACCCCAAACCCCAAAATCCTAAACCCTAAACCCTAAACCCTGAACCGGGCTGTCGCAGAGCCCTGGACCCTGGGTTTCCTCTCAAGGAATCCATGGGCCGCAGCGCCCAGCGCGAGGTAGCTCCGCACAGGGCTTTAGGGTTTAGGGTTTAGGGTTTAGGGTTGAAGTCAGGGTTGGGGGGCTCTACTCTAGGGTTTAGGGTTTAGGGTTTAGGGTTTAGGGTTTAGGGTTTAGGGTTTAGGGTTTAGGGTTACTTGCAACCCATGAACCTGCCAGTCGGGAGGTGGGGGGCAGGGGGGGGGGGGGGGGGGGGGGGTTTAGGGTTTAGGGTTTAGGGGCCATGCCGGGGCATACCTAGAGTTCGGGTTTTTGGGGTTTGGGGGCTGTAGCCTTAAAGACCATCACTGCCGTAGCATCGCCCGGCTATGTGGAAGCGGACCAAGTAACCCCAAACCCCAAACCCCAAACCCCAAACCCCAAACCCCAAACCCCAAACCAAACCCCAAACCCCAAACCCCAAACCCCAAACCCCAAACCCCAAACCCCAAACCCCAAACCCCAAACCCCAAACCCCAAACCCCAAACCCCAAACCCCACCTGGAGGCAGCCAAGCTGCAAAAGCTTTTGCTGGAGCGGACCGGGCGCAAGGCCGTTAAAGAGTTCGCCCATGACGATGGTGTGGTGTTTCTGTTTCTTTTTATGGGGGCTTACGAAAATAGGGGACCCTTAATATGAACCCCCAAATAGGGTGATTCCCTTACAATAAGAACCCCAATAAGGTACCCCTAGATTGGAAGCCCCATATCGAAAGAATATATTCATACCTTCAGGGTTGAGGGCTGGGGGTTTCGGGTTTGCCTTGGGATCTTCCCCCTTATACTAGCAGTCCTGAGTAAATAGCCAATAGGGCGAACAATAATCCCTATTAGACTTGTTAGTCTGATGGGGAACATCCCAAGGTTTACCTTAAACCCTCAGCCCTTAAACCCTTTCAACGCGAAGCGGCGCCAAGAATCTGACCCCAAACCCTAAACCCTAAAGAAGAGACCCGTAACCCTAAACCCTAAACCCTAAACCCTAAACCTTTAACCCTAAACCCTAAACCCTAAACCCTAAACCCTAAACCTTAAACCCTAAACCCTAAACCCTAAGCAGGACTTGCGAAAAGTCCCTTCGTCTCCTGTGCGCGCCTGGCTGACGCAGATCTGGCTCGACGTGCCTTGCTTACCTGAGTGAAGGTCACACGGGGAAGGGTTTGGGGTTTAGGGTTTAGGGTGTAGGGTTTAGGGAACCCTAGAATGACCCCCAAAGAGTAGGATTCCTTTACACCAAGGGCCCCAAGAAAGCACCCCTTAACTTCGGACACCCCCAACCTATGGGGAGGGCTCTGTATTATTAGTTGGAGACCCTACTGCTAAAACATAATTTTGGGCACCTCCCGTGTATTTTAGCACTATCGCAAGTCGCTACGTAGATCCTTCGCTGCGCTTGGAGAGGCCCAGGTCTCCCAGATTTTAGGCTTTTGGGTCAGGGTTTAGGGTTTAGGGTTCAGGGTTTAGGGTTTAGGGTTTAGGGTTTAGGGTTTAGGGTTCAGGGTTCAGGGTTCAGGGTTCAGGGTTCAGGGTTTAGGGTTTAGGGTTTAGGGTCCCGAAGCACTAAACCCGTTGCCTGAAGCCTCAAAAAGGAGCCCCCAAGTCTGAAGATCAGGGTTTAGGGTTTAGGGTTTAGAGTTTGGGGTTTAGGGTTTAGGGTTCAGGGTTTAGGGTTTAGGGTTCAGGGTTCAGGGTTTAGGGTTTAGGGTTTAGAGTTTGGGGTTTAGGGTTTAGGGTTTAGGGTTCCTAAGCGCTAAGCCCGCTACCTGAAACCTCAAAAAGGAGGTTTAGGGTTTAGGGTTTCGGGTTCAGGGCCTGCGCCCAGGTGCCTTCGACCCGACCACGCCGGGAGCAGATGGTGAAGTGCCGATGCGCTGTTTACGTCTAAGCCAAAGGGTTTAGGGTTTAGGGTTTAGGGTTTAGGCTTAGGGTTTAGGGTTTGGGGTTTAGGGTTTGGGTGTTTAGGGTTTAGAGTGCCCAATAAGCCTTAGTTAAAGAACCCTACTTCATACAGCGATCCTTAGTACCACCTCCTAGTTCGGGACTCTCCCGTCCTTCAGCAGTGGGAAGCAATATGGGGATCCTTAATATGACGCGAGGTGTCTTCCTTCAGCAGTGGGGAAGCTTTGCGGGCGGGAGAGGATCAGAAAAGGACGTAGGGTCCAGATCCTCGACCAAAACCCAAGCTAAACCGAGCCCCCCAGTCGGGCTCGGGTGGAATCGACACCCGAAGCCCTAAACCCTAAACCCTAAACCCTAAACCCTAAACCCTAAACCCTAAACCCTAAACCCTAAACCCTAAACCCTAAACCCTAAACCCTAAACCCCAAACCCCAAAGGTGCTGCGGCACCTGGGTCGCTGACTCCACTGCAGCGCCAGGGGCGAAGCTGCCGTGCCTTGCGCCCCGGGGGCACGCTGATCTCCATTTTTGGCTTTATGGTTGTACGGTAGGGTTTAGGGTTTAGGGTTTAGGGTTTAGGGTTTAGGGTTTCGGGTTTAGGGTTTAGGGTCTAGGAGTTTAAGGGTTCAGGGTTTAGGGTTTAGGGTTTAGGGTTTGAGCATGCATCCTGAGAAGAAGCATGGTTTAAGCCGGCACCAGGAACATTAGTTAGAGTTGAGGGATGTTCTTCGGAGATGTTGGGGGAGTTCCCTAAACCCTAAACCCTAAACCCTAAACCCTAAACCCTAAACCCTAAACCCTAAACCCTAAACCCCAAACCCCAAACCCCAAACCAGTGTGCAGGGCTGAGATGAGGCTTCCGAAGAACTAGGGGGGGTTCATTGTTGCACCGCCGAAAGCCTCGAAGCCCCTGATCCCACGAAGACTGAGGGTCGCCCCTGGAATCCCTTTTTAAGAAAGACTAGGTTTAGGAGTCGGGCTTAGGGTTTGGGGGTTTAGGGCTTTGGGTTTAGGGCTTAGGGTTTAGGGGCCAGGGTTTCGGGTTGAGGGTTTTGGGGCTTCGGGTCTTGCCCTGAGTGCTTCGGAAAGCTCCAACCCCGCCCCTGGTTGCCCAAGGAGCTGCTGCGGCAGGAGTTCGCAGTGCCGTGGCCGAAGTGTGTGCCGAAGGGTGGGATGGTGACTTTCGGGCCTAGGCAAGTGTCTGAGGGTAGTTGCATGGGCCCTTAGTATGGCCCCTTATACCTCCTTTAAAGGGGTTCTGATGTATGGGCCCTTAGTTTGTATAGGGTATATAAGGGGTTCCCTTTTTAGGGCCCATACGAAGGGACCATGCAACTACGTTAAGAAAGTAGGGAAAAGAGATAAGGGTCTCCGACCCTTCGTGGGGGTTCCTATCATAGTGCGCGAAGTATTTTGGGGTGTATTGGGGGTACTCCTTTTGGGAAAGGACGTGTTTTGTTTGGGAATTTGGGACGCTCAGGGCCTGGGTTTGGGTGGAAGGATGCTGAGCGGAACTGTCCGGCAATGTGGCTCCTCAGGGGAGTATGCCTACAATCATGAGAGAGGTCAGAGGGACCCTGCTCTATCTTCGATGCTGGGCTACTGGGGTCGCGGCTTCGGGATCTTGAGAGCTGAGCCTGCCACCAAAGGGTTTAAAGTCAGGGGCTCTGACCCGACCTGCCGTTTGCAAGAGCGTGGAAAACCCAACGAAACCCTGAACCTTAAACCGTAAAGCCTGAACCCAAAATCAACCCTAAACCACCCTAAACCCAAAATAAACCCTAAACCGTAAGCTCTAAGAATGTAGAGGAGAACCAAAACTCCCTAAGACTGCAAAGGCCCCAATCCCCGCCTGGGCAGGACGGAAACCGAAGTCCCCCTCCCCAACTTTAGTTTAGGGTTTGGGGTTTGGTGTTGCGGTTTTAGGGGTCTATGGGTTTTTGGGCTCTGGGCTTTGTAGGGTAGAGAGCCTGTCGGAAAAGGGCCTTGTAGGGTTTCGGTGGTTTGGGGCTCTTGCATGGAAGAGGAGGTCCACATCGGGGTTTCAACATCGCCTTCAGTTGCTTGACTCAGGGTTTGGTGTCTTCTGGGTTTAGGGTTTAGGGTTTAGGGTTTAGGGTTTAGGCCTAGACCCTAAGCCCTTAACCTGAAACCCCCCAAAAAGGGCCGGACAAAAGGGCCCTTCGCGGGTCCGCGGCAGGCGAAGAGTGCGGCAGAAGCCGAGCCTTGGCTGCTGACCCTGCTCCTGGAGCAGGTGCATCGGGGAGCCCCAAAATGATCCCTTGGCTGGGGGCTACAACATGGGTTTAGGGTTTAGGGTTTGGGGTTTAGGGTTTAGGGTTTGGGGTGTAGGGTTTAGGGTTTCAGGGTTCTCTGATAAGGCGGCATGCTTCAAGAAGGAAGCCCAAAACCGGACCCTAAATTGGGAAGCCACCCGAATACCCTAAAACCCTAAAACTTAGACCCTAAATCTTAAACCCTAATCCTAAACCCAATTCAGTAGCCTGCACAGTTCAAGGCATCTTCATGAGTTTCTGTATCATTGGGCTCCTGAAGGAGACGCTGCGTCTCTCACGTGTCCTCTCATGGGTTTAGGGTCTAGGGTTTAGGGTTTAGGGTTTAGGGTTCAGGGTTTAGGGTTCAGAGGTTAGGTTGGGATATTCCGTGATAAGATGCCCGTTCTAGGCTGCGTGCAAATGTACCCGAAGATCTAAACCCCAAACCCCCGAGCAACAATTCCTAGACCCCAACTTTCTGGAGGAGTCTGAATGAGCTCGGAACCCCCATCCCTCTTCCCTGAAGCACTCGGGGGTGTGTTGGGATGGAATCGTGGGATTATGGTTTAGGGTTATGTAAGAACAGGAGGTTTATTGCTGCTGTCACGGGTTCCCATCGCTCTGGCATGCGTCCATGGCAGATCGAGGCACGTAAGAGGGTCCTCTGGCAAAAGGGCTCCGAGCTAGAGCTCTGCAAAAAGATCTTGGGAGGTATGCCGCGATCCGAGCAATCACTCGCCGGACCTTCAGCAGAGCCTTGTCCCCAATTGACGAATGTTTTGTGGGCACGGGAGCCATGGACCCTGAAACCCTAGACCTTACGGGAAAACCTGAACTTCCACCGAAATCAGTGTGCGACGGGATGCGACGGGCATCTCCCTCAGACCTTAAACCTTAGGGTTATCTAGGGTTTTGTTTGTAGTGAACTCCGTCTTTGGTCTCACTGAAGTTTTGCCCCCCAAGTCTTGAAGAAGCCTTTGAAAGCAAGTGTCAGGCTGCTGTACTTCCTCCCGGGCCCTCCGAGCGTGGTGACTTTGCGCGAGCTCCTGGCCGACTTGTCGCAGGAGAAGGACCGGGGCAATGCCCGTGATGAGCTGTTTGCTTGGAGGTTCGTGGGTACTGAGAAGTGGGGTGATAAGTAGGGTAGCTCTTATTACATCTGGTCATTGTTTTGGGTACTTCCAACCCCACTTATAGCTACCCATGAACCTTCAAGTACACCCCAAAATTCGAAGACACAGGCTAGATGGGTGGCAGAAAACCCGCTCGGAATGAACACCCACAAGGCCCCGAATGTTTTTCAAGGGGTTTCAAGTGGGGGTTTCTGATAATAAGGGGCCCCCTAATGTAGACCCCCAAATTGTAGGATCCCCGTATCAATACGGACCCCATTAAGGTACCCCTTACTGTTATACACCCCCAAGGGGTTTTTGAAGTCAAGGGGCCCGAGCCCTGTCCTTCAAGGACCGCCTAGCTACACTCTGGTTATGCCTCTGCCTCTGGGCCCCACAGCCCCCTCCGGACGCCGCTTGAGCTGCAGTCCGGCGCCTGTTTCTACCCGTTGTTGTTGGGTTGAGGCTTGGGGACCAAAAAACGTTTCCAGATGAGGCTCCCTAAACCCTAAACTCTAAACCCTGAACCCTAAACCCTGAACTCTAAACCCTACGCCTCAAACCCTAAACCCTAAACCCTGAACCCTAAACCCGTTCGATTCTGCTGCTCCGCCTTCAACACCTTGCATCCTGAGGCCTCAAGCGTGAGCTGGCCGTCGCATCTCCCGCCACCAATTCATGCATTGCCACCGGGACAGAACCCACCCAGGTTTAGGGGTTTAGGGTATAGGGTTTAGGGTTTGGGGTTTAGGGCATGCCCCCTCAGCCCCTGACACCCCCTATCACCAACCCTAAACCCTAAACCCTAAACCCTAAACCCTAAACCCTAAACCCTAAACCCTAAACCCTAAACCCTAAACCCTAAACCCTAAACCCTAAACCCTATACCAGGCAGAAAAAAACCCAGGTTGCGAGGCCTCCTCGTTTGCTTCGCCCAGCTCTTCGACTCCAAGGTCCTGCCCCTTGGACCGCAACAACCCTCAGGCGAAGCTTCCAAGGAGGGAGTTTAGGGTTTAGGGTTTTAGGGTTTAGGGTTTAGGGTTTAGGGTTTAGGGTTCAGGGTTCGGGGGGGAATGGGGGTGATGACATACGGTTTGGTCTGTAGCCAGGATCCAGGCCCAAACCGTAAACTCCAAGCCCGTGCTTTTTGAAGCGTGGGCTGAGGTCAGCGCCCGCGCACGAAAAGCTGAGCACTTCTCACCAAGACTCGTGCTTGAGGAGACATATCCAAACTCAAAGCAACAGTACGGATGCGAATGGTCTACGATCTGAGTGAGGACATGTGAAGCTTAAACATCAGCCGGGGCAGGCGTCCTGCTGCCCTTACGGCCCTTAAGCAAACCTCAACCCCCCCCCCCTCTCCTCCCACCAACCCTGGCGCAAAGCGCGCGGACGCTCAGAACCCTAAACCCTAAATCCTAACCCTAAGCCCGAAACCCTAAACCCTAAACCCTAGGTGCCGCACCTGCCTCATGTCCTTGGCGGCCATCGCTGCCAGTGGAAGCGGCGCGGGCGCCATCGCCGCGGCGGCGCCCCAGCTGCTCCTCCTGCCGCCCGGCGGGTCGTACTTGGAGGTTCATGGTAACCAGTTATAACTGTATTTAAAGGGTTTAGGGGTTAGGGTTTATGACTGTACTTATAACTGTACATATAGCGATATTAGGGCACTTAAGGGGCTTATAAGTGGGTTATAAGTACAGTGATAGTTGGTCGTCATAGGGCACTCGGAGAGGGTCGTCTCTGTATGGCCAAGTAGCGCCTAAACAAAGAACCCTTAAAGTTTTCCTTCTAAGGGTCCCTCCTTTAGTCCTCTGAAGCGCCGGAGCCCGATAGCCAGCACCCTAAACACTCTGAAAACCCCAAACCCCCACAACCCTAAACCCCAAACCCTAAACCCTAAACCCTAAACCCTAAACCCTAAACCCCTAAACCCTAAACCCTTAAACCCTTAAACCCTTAAACCCTAAACCCTAAACCCCCCAAAACAAGCCCCCAAGGCTCTACAAGGAAGGCCCAGTTCTGCCCCCGGACGTGTGGATGCCCATGGCCCCGCTGCTGGAAGCCGCACCCCGGCTCGAATTTGGAGGTTTTGTGGTTTAGGGTCAAGGGTTTGGGGGTTTAGGGTTTGGGGTTTGGGGTTTGGGGTTTAGGGTTTAGGGTTTAGGGTTTGTGTTTAGGGTTCAGGGTTTCGGGTTTGGGGTTTAGGGTTGAGGGTTGAGGGTTTAGGGCAGACTTTGTCTCCGGGGTATACTACACTCATCTACACTCCTCCCATCTGGAGAAGTGTAAGGATGGCTGGGGGTCGGGTCCTTTAACTTAGTAGAGTCGAGAACCTTTAACCTTTTGGGTATTGCGATTCCTACATAGTCCCCGAGGTTAACCTTTAGCTTTTCTAGGTTACTGGACAACTAAGTTTCGGGTCTCGGGCCCGATCCCAGAAGGAACCTCATACGTGCTGCTCCTGCCATGCCGACACCCCCGCCTGAATTCCAAAAGCTTGGGCAGCCCAGCGGTGCCCTTTTTCGGCCCGTCTCATGGCTGCTGGCTACCAAAACGGGAGGGTTCTTTGCCTCGAAGCTTTTCGGGCCCGCTGCCGTTCCTCAACCCCGTATACTGGGGGAGCTCTCCAATGTCGGCGCCTCGGCGCACGAAGCTGAAGCAGAAGCCTCCTCTCCGCCGAAACCCCGGAAACATAACCCGCACACTGGGGTAGCTTTGGGGGCCCTACGAAGCTTACCTTTTTGGCTGTATAAGGATTATGTAGGGGATTAAGGGGGAAAAACGATGAGAAATTATATTTCAAACTTCCCCCCGCATAGCTAGCATGTGGCTACGGCTCAAGAGCCCAACATGACAAGCAGAAACAGAGGTGTGTTACCTCGACCCAACCTTGCACAGACCGACAGCGCAAGTCCTTAAGCCGCAGCTGCAAACTCGCCCCGCAACCTGAAGCAGAATCAGCGTGAGTTCAGGGTGTCGGGTTTAGCCTCAAAGTGTCCGTGCTCAAAAGGGTTTAGGCTTTAGGGTTGAGGGTTTAGGGTTCAGAAGCCAGCTTTGAATCATGGAGCAAGGGACTCTGGCCCCTAGGGCGACTTTGAACCTCTCGAACGAAGAGGCGGCTGCTCTTCGCCGCACTGGGTGGCCGGTGGACCTCTTGGTGCACCGCTCACCCAAGGTGGTCCACAGCGTCGCAGCTTTTCGACGCGAGGTGCTGTCGGGCAACCACCTTGAGCAAGCCGTCCTCTTTCCGGGCGGCCTGCCGCAGCTCAACTTGGATCTGGCAGGCGCGCTGCCTGCGAGGCTGGCGCGGGCGCTGGCGGATGCGAGCTCGGTCCTCGATTTGCTGAGGAATCTCGGGGAGGACCTGGAGGAGTTTCAGGGCAACTTGGAGAGTGTGGACCCACGCACCCATCTCCAGCATGATGTCTTGCAGATGGCTGAAGACCAGCAGCTCCTGGCAGTTGATGAGGCCCAAAGATTGGCCCGTGAGTGGTGGCAGAGTCCGGGTGACCAGGCCTTCGAAGACACCGTGCAGGCAGAGAAGGCCCTTAACCCTAAACCCTAAACCCTACACCCTACACCCTAAACCCTAAACCCTAAACCCGAAACCCAGAGCAGGCGGAGCTGGAGGCAGCAGTTGTTTGCCGCGCCTCCTTGCGAAGCAAGGCCCGTGCGGCCACGGCACTGCAAGCGGCGGGCCGTGCGGTGCAGCACCCGTACATCTGCGACTTCGTAGCTGACTGAGTGCACTTTACACTTTTTGGGATACTTTATGATCCCCTATAGAACTGAAAGTGTCCACCTTTTTTTGCGGGGGCCCATGGACTCAGCAACTAAGGCGAGCTTCGTCAGATGAAGCCGGGCGGCGCCTCGGGTGATGATGCCCTGTCTGAGATGCTGAGCTGGGCCGCCATCTCAGGGCGGGATGACGATGGCATCTTCGTGGGAGGGGAATTCAGCGGCAAAGGCCTGCATGTCGATCAGCGGCCGGAGAGCAACCTTGGCAAGCAATGGCGAGGCTTGAAGCTCTTTGCTGCCTGGCCACCCGGGCCAGATGGCCAGACAGTGCTGGACGACTGCTACGGCGAGGTCTTCTGTCCGCCTCTGCTGGCCAAGCACGTCGCGGCGTTGGCGCAATGCACGCAGCTGCTCCTTCTTCGGCCTGGCGACGTCTTCCTCTTCAACGGCGCCATGCCGCACACAGCCCTCTGTGTGGGGGAGCCTCTGAACGTGACCAGCTATGAGGGCCTGTTGACATGGAATCCGGGGCACATCGGGCAGTTCTTGACCACCGCCTCCAGCTTCAGCGGCCCCTGGCGAGAGGTCGGCCTCAGCTGGAAGTGGGAGCTCCTGCACGCATGGCAGGAGGCACGTGCGGCACGGAGCCAGGGCGGGGAGGCGCCTCTTGCAGAGCCTTACTTCTCCAACAGCTGAACTTTAAACTTTTTGGGTTTCCTTATTTAGTAGGAATACAAAAAGTTTAACCTTTTTTTCCCTTGGTTATTGGAGAAGTAAGGAGCTGCCCTGCTTGCTGGAGGAGGCCGCGCGGCTCTTGCGCCGCGACGGCTTCTGCAGGGAACTGGGAGGTGCTTTTCTGGAGCCTCCACTTGCCGAGGTGGCGGCCAAGCGACGAAGGACCGAGCTTGACTGCGCGGCTTCGGAAAGGTATGGCGTGTACTTAGCAGCTGAGTAGGGAACCTGCAACCTTTTGGAGTTGAAAGGTGAAGCTTTTTTGGCCCAGGGTACTCAGCAACTAGGTGGAAGTTCGCCATCAAGCGCGAGCAAGCATCCAAAGCACACGAGTCCATGTTGAAGCATCCTAAACCCTTTTGAACCCTACTAGGTCCTACCAAACAACATGACTCAGCCACATTCAACCACATCTTTTTCCCTTTTGGAATCCCTTTTTGAAGCGTCAAGCCATCCCATCCCCTAAAACCCTAAACCCTAAACCCTAAACCCCAAACCCTGAACCCCAAACTCTAAACCTTAAACCCTAAACCCTAAACCCCAAACCCCAAACCCTAAACCCTAAACCCTAAACCCTAAACCCTCAGTCTCTGCAAGGTCCTGGCCCACCAGAGCAGCGAGGCACCGGTGTATCGGTTCGCGTTGCCTTCTGCCAGTTTCAGGGTGTGCCCTAACCCGGGTCTAGGGTTTAGGGTTTAGGGTTTAGGGTTTAGGGGTTAGGGATTGAGGGTTGAAGGGTTAAGCCCCGAAGTGGGTTGAGTCTTTGGTTCTAGCAGATATCGTGTCGAGCCCGGATGCAATCACAAAAGCCCAGAGGGGGCTCCGACATTTAGCAAGCTTACCCTCTGACCTTCTTTTGCAGGTCACAACAACAAATTCAAAACAAGCGCCCCAAGCCGGCATCCCAAGATCGAAGGCCCCATGCTTAAAAACCAGCCCAGAAACACAAAAGACTCTTCCCCTTACAAGGGCAATGAAGGGATTTTATTATTATCACTTTTTGGTGGTGTTCTTTGGGATGTCCCCCTTAGACAAACAGTCCTTTAATGGGGATTACAATAGGAGGTACTGTAATCCCTATTAAGGACAGTTAGTATAAGGTGGAACATGCCAACCCTAAGCCCTAACCCCTAGACCCTAGACCCTAAACCCTAAACCCTAAACCCTGAACCCTAAACCCTAAACCCCTCCGCCTCCTAAGCTACTCGTAGTCGCAGTCGTATTCGTAGTCGTAGTAGTTTTGGAGGCTGCCGAGCTCCTCAGCCGGCTACGCCGCGGAGCCGGCGGCTTTGCCCCGCCCCCGCGCCGCCCGGGCTGTTTAGAGTTGGGCCCCCAAAAGAAAGCCCTAAATCCGAAACCCTAAACCCTAAACCCTAAACCCTAAACCCTAAACCCTAAACCCTAAACCCTAAACCCTAAACCCTAAACCCTCAACCCTCAACCCTCAACCCTACACGCCAAATCTCAGAAACTGGCGCCTTGGAGTCACCACCCACAACCCATTTAATGGGAACCCCCAACAGAGAAACCCCCAATAAATAGTAGGAAGACAGTAGGAAAATACCTGCCAGGTTCCTTCAAGTCACTTCAAGTTCCAAATTTATTCTTGGGGTTCCTTGTTTGAGGTTCCCCATTCGGGTCCTTTTCCCATACACCCCCCCGGATGGCCCACTGGTGTAGGGGGCGTGGTTGGGGATGTGGTAGTGGTTTCTCATCCGCCTGCTGGGGCCCTCGTGGATTCACGAATGCCATTAGATCTTGACTTAACTTTTGGAAGAGGTCTCTTGACTCCTTGCAGTAGCCCCGTGGAGCTTTGCTAGACGGGTGGCAAAAAAAGTACGCTCCCCACAAGTCCTACTTGAGGTGCATGGGCAGTTCTCATCGAGGGTGATAAGTTATAAGTACCCTCCAGAACCCCGTAACCCCACAACCCCAGAACCTCAAACCCTTAACGCTCGTTCAACCCCCTGAGCCCCTTAAACCCTCCAAACCCTAAATCCTCTAAGCCCTAAACCCTCTAGTTTCTGAGCCCTACACTTAAGCCCTAAACCCTAAGCTCTAAACCCCAACCCTAAGCCCTACACCCTAAACCCTAAACCCCAAACCCTAAACCCCTAAACCCCGAAACCCACAAAAACCCTAAACCCTAAATCCCCTAAACGCCTAAACCCCCTAAACCCCTAAACCCCTAAACCCCTAAACCCCTAAACCCCTAAACCCCTAAACCCCTAAACCCCTAAACCCCTAAACCCCTAAACCCCTTTAACCCCTAAACCCCTAAACCCCTAAACCCCTACCCCCTGATACCCCTCACCCTAAACCCTAAACCCCTAAACCCCTAATCCCCCTAACCTCGCGTAAACCCCTAAACTCCCTAAACCCTAAAACCCCTAAACCCCCCCAAACCCCCTAAACCCCTAAACCCTAAATCCCCTAAACCCCTAACCCCTAAACCCCTAAACCCCTAAACCCCTAAATCCCCCAAACCCCTAAATCCCCTAAACCCCTAAACCCCTACATCCCCTGAACCCCTGAAAACCCCTAAAGCCCGTAAATCCCCTAAAACCCTGAAGCTCCGCAAAAGGGGCCCTGGGCGGGGAGCGCCGTCCCTGGGACAGCGCCCCGGGGCCAACGCCGACTCCTGCAGCTCAGGTCGGGAGTTCAGGGTTCAGGGTTCAGGGTTCAGGGTTTGGGGTTTGGGGTTTGGGGTTTGGGGTTTAGGGTTTGGGGTTCAGGGTTTAGGGTTTCGGGTTTAGGGTAAGTAGAGTCTACCTAAGCCCTATAAGCCCTCAACAGCAGGCTCCGGTTCAGGTCTCGCCACTTCCCAGAACTGCACCCTGAGCCACGAAGCCCATGGTGTGCGCGATTCTCAAGACATGAATCCGCGTGCAGGCTTCCTCAACCCCTAAGCCCTAAACAGCCTAAACCCTTAAGCCCTTAAGCCCTTCAACCCTTAAACTCTCAAACCCTTGTGCTGGTTCACAATGCAGTCGCACTCCCTAAACCCTAAACCCTAAACCCTAAACCCTAAACCCTAAACCCTAAACCCTACACCCAAAACCCTAAACCCCAAACCCCAAACCCCAAACCCCAAACCCCAAACCCCAAACCAAAAGCTGTGCTGAAGGCTCCGGCGGCCTGGGACGCGTGGAGCACGGCCCCCCAGCCAACTTCGGCTCCGTGGGCTCGAATTAAAGGAGTTGAGGGCTTCCTAGGGTTTAGGGTTTATAGGGTTTAGGTTTTAGTGTTTAGGGTTTAGGGTTTAGGGTTTAGGGATTGGGGTTTAGGGTTTAGGGTTGAGGGCTTCCTAGGGTTTAAGGGTTTGGGGGTTTAAGGGTTTGGGGGTTTAAGGGTTTAGGGGTTTAAGGGTGTCTTGATTTGCCTGAAGATGCGGGCATACAAGCTTTAATTGAGCAGCAACGATTAAGGCGCTTAGCTATCCGTGACTTACGTCGCATTTCTAGGGTCTTCTCTGCGAAGTTGTAGTCTGGCTGTTGCTGCATGCGCTTGCTCTTTCTCACCGTAATTCGCACACTTCTGACTGTCCCGCTTACACTTTCACGGGGGTAGCCACGAGAGCTGTCCCTGGCAGGCTTGACGTTTCGAATGCCTGAGAGAGAGAGAGGGGTTTAAGGGTTCAGGGTTTAAGGGGTTTAGGGTCTAGAGGTTCTGGGTTTAGGGGTTTAAGGGTTTAGGGTGTAGGGCTTGGGGTGTGGGGTTTATGGCTTAGGGCTGCAAAGGGAGTCCAGTCGGTTTTGAGCTTGAAGGTTCAGGCAGGCTTTTACAAGGTGCAACGTTCCAAAGGGGGGGGGAGATTTTTTGGGGTGACTGTGGGAGTCTTGCGGGTCTTTTGGTAGCTCCGTTTCTTTTGCCATTGCAGCCATGGCGTCATCTAAGTCCCATGCCATGGAATCCTGATCTTTAACGCCAGAAGCCTGAAACACCAAGAACCCTAAACCGGCGGGGCTCTCCATGGGCTTGTTGGGGTTCATGGTTTCTAGAGCAGTGGGGGTTTTGTAGCCCTAAACCCTAAACTTCCGAAACCCTCAACTCCGCAAGTTCCCCCAAGACCGAGGCGCCGACGCCGGCCGCCCCGGCCCAAGCCGCGCAAGCCGCGCCAGCGCCCAGCTCCGTCTTCCGGACGCTGCCCACGGAAGGCACGGTGGCCGTGAGCCACCAGCCTCCACACGTGGGCCTGCAGAACACGAAGCTAGGTCTCGATGTGGGATTTTTGTTTAAAGATTTTCCTCATTGTTAAAAGGGTATCGATTTGGGATCATTTTTTGATTTCCTTTATTGTTTCATATGGAGCCCTAGTTATAAATAGTTTTGGGAACGGTTGACATCGACACCTAGCGAAGCTGCGGCGGGTGTTGAGAACCGCTTCTTGAGGGGTTTCGTGGAACTGCTCCACATGGCCCATGGGGAGCCTCCCAAAGATCTGCATCTCTTGCACACCCGGATCAGAAGCAGCCCAGGAACAACACATGCTACATGAACAGCTTCATCCAGGGCCTCTACCTCACCGATGCCTTCATCTGGCGGCTGTTCTCCTTCAAGCTGCGTCTGAAGGACTCTTGGCTTGACTTAGGGCGCGCCGGAAGTTTGTCAAGATTCGCTTTTAACAAATGATTGGATGACGGGGTCTAGGGTTTATGTAGGGTTTAGAGTGCAGCTTTGAAAAGCTTGTGATGACGGCTTTCAAACCGTAAGCTTGCAGAGTCTGGACACCAAGGACAACCCGTCGAAGGTTGATCAGGAGGCTCCCCGGCGTTCTTATGCTGCAACTCCTGGCTGTGCAAGAGATAGCTTCGTCCCCACCGTATTTACCGTTGTGGGATACCTGGGAACCGCTAACCCTAAACCCTAAGCCCCTAAACCCTAAACCCTAGGTAGGACCTTGGAATATTTTTTATCTTTTCCCTTATTGGGTTTAAGAGGAGCATGTTTAGGAGTATCTTTCAGAGGGTTTTAAGGACCGTCTAGGATGTCCATGGGCATTCCAAGAAAGGATGGGTGCTTGCACGGTGCTTGCACACATCCCAAGGATTTCGAGTTCGGCACCAAGCTGGTAGATCTCCTCCAGCGCCAGGCACACCGGTGTCCAAACAGCCCAAAGCAACCCTTATCCCTAAGCCTTGAATCTAAGCCGTATAGCCCCTAAACAGACCAAAGCAACCCTTATCCCTGCCTGGGCCATTAAGGCCCTACATGTACCCTTTAAGGGGTTATATAGGGTACCTTATTCCCTCATTCCCTACTGAGGTGGCCAAAATGTCACTGACCAGGCATTCCAACACCGAAGCTCAGCCAACAGTAGCCAGTTGGGGGCTGAGGGTGGAGAACCCTAAGCCCCTAAACCCCAAACCCCAAACCCTAAACCCCAAACCCGAAACCGCACTAAACCCTAAACCCTAAACCCTAAACCCTAAACCCTAAACCCTAAACCCTAAACCCTAAACCCTAAACCCTAAACCCTAAACCCACCTAGAAGCCTGCCTATAACCGAGCCTTCAAACATCCTAGGACATCTGGGACATCCTCCAGAGCTTCCCGGACGTGTACCGCCCCCTCAGCTGCAGCTTAGGGGTTTAGGGTTTAGGATTTAGGGTTAGGGGTTTAGGGTTTAGGGTTTAGGAGTTAGGGTTAGGGGTTTAGGGTTTAGGGTTTAGGATTTTGGGTTCGGGGTTTAGGGTTTAGGGTTCACCTTCTTGGCATTCCACCCAGCCTCCGCAGGGAAAACGGGTTTAGGGACGAGGGTTTGGGGTTTAGGGTTTAGAATGTAGGGCATGGGTTGCTGTTGCAAACAGGGTACAGGTTGCTTCCGCCCGCTTGGCTCCCGGCATTCCTCACAAAGGTTTCAGGGTAGTTTGTGGCTTTTTGCTGCGCATGCAGTCCCAGAACACTTCACCGTGCCCCTCTAATTGGGTTTAGGGTTTAGGGTTTGGGGGTTGGGGTTTGTGACACTTTCCCGTCACGCCTGGGCCTCAGCACGTGTTCAAAGGTTGGGGTTTGGGGTGGATGGTAATCACTAGGGTCGATCTATAGATTCGGATCCATTCTTATTGGGTCCGACATATAGTAAGGCACTGGAAAACGGGAACTACCCATTATGCAGGACATGATTTAGGCTCCCTTGTGCTGGGCTTCGTCAAGGGACTCAGACTCGTTCCCCTAAGGTTGTACCCCTAAAGATTCCCCTTAATATGCTCCGAATATGGCCTTTATATTCCCTGAAGGATCCTTAAAAAGGGACCCCAAAACCCAAGGGTACAACCTTAAGGGTCCAAGGTAGAACCCCCAGAGAACTTCGGAACCCCAAAGCAGAAACCCTAAACCCTAAACCCTTCGCCGTCCTGAACAGGTTCTGGTGAGCAGCAGGACGCGTCTGGGCTTCAAATAAAAGCTTAAGAGACCCCCTACCTTAAGGACCAGAAAAGGCTTTAGGGTTTAGGGTTCAGTGTTTAGGGAGGAACCATACCTGACTTTATATGGCTAGTGTCGAAATTAGGTCCCTTTTAGGGTCCTATATAATATAGTAGCGCAACCTTACAGAAAGACGCCCAAGAGGGACCCGTAAGTAGATTTCATGGGGGGTTTACAATATTAGGGTACCTCGCTAGGGCCCTTATGATAAGGAAATCCTATTCTTTGGGGGTGTCTGTTAGGGGTCCCTCGTTATCGTAAATTCCCAGAAAGGGATCCAAGGGTAAATTCCGTAATTGGGGGGTATTGGGCTCTTTGGGGAAGTTCAGGGGGTGTGACACTGGTGCCTGGTGCCGTGCTCTTGTCGATCCGGCAGCTAAGACCTCGAAACTGGTTCAGGCGCACCTTGCCCTGAAGCGCGATAGCAAGAGCGAGAGCGAGAGACAGAGCGAGAGAGAGAGCGAGAGAGAGAGAGAGAGAGAGAACGAGAGAGAGAGAGAGCGACAGAGAGAGAGCGAGAGAGAGAAACCCCTCAACCATGAACCCTAAATCCTAAACCCTAAACCCTAAACCCTAGACCCTAAACCCTAAACCCTAAAGCCTAAACCCTAAACCCTAAACCCTAAACCTAAACCCTAAACCCTAAACCCTAAACCCTAAACCCGAAACCCGAAACCCGAAATCAACAGACGTCAGAGGTGGGGACCCCACCCTCGGCTTTCCATCCCTTGCTCCTTAGGTGACGGAGACCATACGATTCGTCTTCGAGAAGCCAGAGCCCAGCTCGCTTGGGGTGTGTCCTTCACGGTGTAGGGTTTAGGGTTCAGGGTCTAGGGTTTAGGGTTTAGGGTTTGGGGGGTTTTAGGGGTTTAGGGGGTTTAGGGGGTTTAGGGGGTTTAGGGGGTTTAGGGGGTTTAGGGGTTTTAGGTGTTAGGGGGTTTAGGGGGTTTAGGGGGTTTAGGTTTCCCAAAGAATCGGGCTGCCCTTCTGGGGGGTTCCTCGATTGAGGATGGCAGTCTTGAGGGTGGCTTAAGGGGTGTCCTGTGTAGAAAGCCCTAAACCCTAAACCCTAAACCCTAAACCCTGAACCCTAAACCCTAAACCCTAAATCCTTAGGCCTAAGGCTGTCTGCCGCAGGTGCAGCATCATGTCTCTTATGATTAAGGTGAGCCTGCTTAGTGGTTAGGTAAGTTTAGGGTTTAGAGTTTTAGAGTTTAGGATGTAGGGTTTTAGGGTTTAGGGTTTAGGCTTTGTGCTACCCACCTAGGAGGAACACTACTCATTCTGCAAGTTACAAGCCCCATAGAAAATGCCAAGTTTAAAAGTTCAGGGATCTAGGCTTTAACACCTAAACCCAAGGCCGCGGGCTTGGAGACATGTAGGCTTTCGCAGCAAACGCAGTGGAGCTTGGGAGGGCTTAATTCAGACAGCGAAGGCGCAGGGATTCAACACTACTTACTGCTGGGTAGCAGGGAATGAGGGAATTAGTAGGGTCTTATATAAACCCTTTAAGGGATTTTAGAGGGTACTCATTCCCCCATTCCCTACTAACCAACAGTAAGATTAGACGGACGGCGCACACTGACCCAGAGTCTTGTTTTGAGAATGAAGAAGGCAGGTATGCGGGAAAGTGCCACAGGGTCTGCCTGCACCTTGGACCCTAAACCCTAAACCCTAAGCCCGAAGCCCTAAACCCTAAACCCTAAACCCTAAACCCTAAACCCTAAACCCTAAACCCTAAACCCTAAACCCTAAACCCTAAACCCTAAACCCTAAACCCTAAACCGGCCAGGCTGGGCAGCTTCGAGCAGCCCTTGATCCGCGAGGTCTTCGCGGGCCAGCTCCAGGAAAACCTGCAGTGCAAGGCGAGGGTTTAGGGTTTAGGGTTGAGGTTTAGGGTTTAGGGTTTAGGGTTTAGGGTTTGGGGTTTAGGGTTTAGGGTTTAGGGTTTGGGGTTCATGGCTAAACCCCGAAAACCCCTAAACCCCCAAAACCCATCTAAACCCCAAACCCTAAGCAATGCAAGGGTTTCGGGACGTGGTGTTTTTCAGCGAGACGGACAACGAGAAACTTGCTCAAAACCTGGTTGATCGTTTAGGGCTTCCCAAAAAAACTCCCCCAAAAAGGATGAAAAAGCCTGTGATTCAGCAAAAAGCAAAGCGAGAAGCTCGCTGCAAACCCGGTCAAAACTCGACCAAAAGTCCGGACACAAACCCTATACAGTTTCTATCAATTCCTATAAACCCTAAACTAAACCCTTGTTCCTAAACGCCGCGCCCTAAACCCTAAACCCCTGCAATGTGGCCTGAGTGTCAGCTAGGCGGGTGGCGAAAAAAACAGCTTAAACCCTAAACCCTAAACCCTAAACCCTAAAGGCAGACCGGTCGCTTGTGCCCGCTTTAGGCTGGTCAGTTGTGCCCGCCTTACGCGGGTCACTTGTGCCCGCGTACGTGCCTCAAATCACAGCAGGGCCGCACTTTGGGCCACCTCCCGCCAAAACGCAGACCTGTCACTTGTGCCCACCTTTCGGTCTTAAAATATGGCAGGGCCACAGGATGAGGTGTTTGTCGGTTGAAAAGTCGCGTCCCTGCCACATCCGGCAGGCTCTCTGCCCCTGCCACCTGTCCCCCTTCCCCCTTCCCCCTCCACCCCCTCCCAAGCACTCCGGCTGACCGTGCAGGGCGCATCGGGCAACAACAGTCGTTTTTTTACCCCTCCAAACCCGAACCCTGGACCCAGAAACAACTGACCTGAGGCCTTGCGTGGAAGGCTCCCCTTGGGTCAGATGTCTGTAGACGCCCAGCCCGCCCAAGCCCCCCCTCGCCGCCGCCCCCTTCCCCCTCCACCCCCTCCCAAGCACTGCGGCTGACCGTGCAGGGCTCCCCCTGCGGCTGACCGTGCAGGGCGCGTTGGTCAACAACAGTCGTTTTTGCCCCTCGAACCCCCCCCCCATCCCCCCTCCCCTCACCCGTTTCCAGGGCGGGTGACTGGGTGTGGTGTGTGGCGTCAAACAAGCTTATTCTTATCCCCCCCCCCTTCCCCCCGTTGCAGGGCGGGTGACTGGATGCGGTTGTGTTGAGCGCGTCAAACAAGCTTATTCTTGTCCCCCCCCTCCACCCCCCTCCCCCCTCCCTCACCCGTTAGGACTGGATGTGGTTGACTGGATGTGGTTGTGTTGCCCCCCCTCCCCCCTCCCCTCACCCGTTTCCAGGGCGGGTGACTGGGTGTGGTTCCCCTTCCAAACCCCTCCAAAACCCCCCCCCCCCCCCACACCCCCCCCCCCCCCCCCCCCCCCCCCACCACCAACCCCCCCCCCCCCCCACCCCCCCCCCCCACCCCCCCCCCCCCCCCCCCCCCCCACCTGCCCCGTTGCAGGGCGGGTGGGACTGAGATGCGGTTGTGTTGAGCGCGTTCAAACAAGGGTGGGGCTTATTCTTGTCCCCCCCTCCACCCCCCTACCCCCTCCCCTCACCGTTTGGGGGGGGGGACTGGTTGGGGTTGCTGGAAATGTGGTTGTGGCCCCCCTCGCCCCTCCCTTCACCGTTCCAGGGGGGGACTGGGTGTGTGGTGTGTGGCGTTTTCAAAACAAGATATTCTTATCCCCCCCCCCCCCCCTCCCCCCCCCCCTTCCCCTCCCCCCCCCCCCCCGTCCCGTTTTGCAGGGCGGGTGACTGGATGCGGTTGTGTGTAGCGCGTTCAAAGACCAAGCTTATGCTTGTCCCCCCCCCCTCCCCCACCCCTCCCCCCTCCCTCACCGTTAGGGACTGGATGTGGTTGACGGGATGTGGTTGTGTGGGCAGGGGGGTGTGACTGGGTTGTGGTGTGTGGCATGAAACAAGTTTTTCTTCCCCCCCCCCCCCACCCCCCCCTACCCCCCCCCCCCCCTCGCATCCACCTCCCCCCCCCCCCCTCCTACCTTCCGTTTTGCAGGGCGGGTGACTGGATTGCGGTTGGGGGGTTGAGCGCGTTGAAACAAGGTATTCTGTCCCCCCCCCCACTCACATCACCCCCACCTACCCCCCCCCCCCCCCTCATCCCCTCCTTCACCGTGGTGGACTGAGGATGTGGTTGTGTTGCCCCCCCCCACCCCTCCCTCACCCGTTTCCAGGGCGGGTGACCGGCGTCAAACAAGCTTATTCTTATCCCCCCCCCCTCCCCTCCCCCCCGCCCGTTGCAGGGCGGGTGACTGGATGTTATTCTTGTCCCCCCCCTCCCCTCCCCCCCCCTCCTCCTCACCCGTTGGGACTGGATGTGGTTGACTGGATGTGGTTGTGTTGACCGCCTCAAACAAGCTTATTCTTATCCCCCCCCCCTCCCCACCCCCCCACCCCCCCAGAAACGTGGGCACAAGTGACGGGGTACGTGGGCACAAGTGACGGGGTACGTGGGCACAAGTGACGGGGTACGTGGGCGCAAGTGACCCGAAACCGCGTGGGCACAAGTGACCGCGATCGCGTGGGCACAAGTGACGGGGCTGCCAACCCTAAACCCTAAACCCTAAACCCTAAACCCTAAACCCTAAACCCTAAACCCTAAACCCTAAACCCTAAACCCTAAACCCTAAACCCTTAACCCTAAACCCTAAACCCTAAACCCTAAACCCTAAACCATGGTTGCAAACAGGGTTTGCATGTCCATGGGGCCAGGTCTGCGGGCATATCAAGGCCAAGCCAGAGACGTTCACCGAGCCCTGGCTTAAACAAGTTTATTGGGGCCCAAGGTCTCATCAGGGTTCAGGGTTCAGGGGGTCGAGGAGGTTTAGGGTTTAGGGTTTAGGGTTTAGGGTTTAGGGTTTAGAGTAAAGAGCCCAACGGGAACCACATGATCCGCTTAGCTGCCCATCGGCGCATGTTGAGGACCTTGTGCTCTCTGTGCCCACGGAAGACGAGGCGGGGGGTTTAGGGGTTTAAGCCAATCTTGGGGTGGCGCAATGAGCATTCGCTTTCATGTTATTATGAATGCTTCTATAAGTATTATTGTGGTCATTGTTATTCGTTCATGCCTGAGCGCACTGGAGTATGTGTTGCAACTGATGGGTTGATCTAAATCATGCTTGCTGTGTGTTCTCTCACGTTCTGAGAATTTCTGAGAGAAGTCTTGACCTGAACTCACGACGGATTGTGCTTTTGCTGCCATTCAGGGCGATGGGTCTGTTTGGACCTGGGGACCGTCTCTCTTTGGTGGTGACAGCACCTCTGTGCAAAGTCAGCTAAAGGATGTGCGGCACACAGGCGCTTAAGCGACTTTGACTGCCATTCTGGCTGATGGCTCCGTGGTGATCTGGGGCAAGCATGGTGGTCAAGGTCAACTGAAGGACGTGCAGCACATCCAAGCTACGTGCTTTGCATTTGCTGCCATTCGGAGCGATGGGTCTTTCGCTGCTAAGGGCGAGGCGACAGAGTGGAGGACGTGCAGCAGATGCAAGCTAATGCCGCGTCTTTTGCTGCGATTTTGGGCGATGGGTTTGTTGTGACCTGGGGTGTCTGGTAGTGATGGCACTGCTGTGCAAGGTCAGCTCCCCTGCTCGCTTTTCAGCCCAGGTCCGTGGTCTCGGGCCTAGTCCCTGTCTACCGGCAACAAGGGGCAAAAGAGCAGAAAGCGCAAGCTGAAGGACGCGGAGCAGATTCACGCTACCGCCAATTCGTTTGCTGCTATTCTGCGGTGACCTGGGGAGGTGCTCCATCTAGTTGGAGCTGAGGGCCGGCTTAGATAGGGCTGAAAAATTCGGGCAGAAGAGCTGTAAGAGATTCAACCTAAACCCCTAAACCCCTAAACCCCTAAACCCCTAAACCCCTAAACCCCTAAACCCCCAAACCCCCGAAACCCCCAAACCCCGCTTCCTGGCAAGAAGGCTTAATCATGGCCCTGGCAGCCCAGAACGTCTACATCGGGGGTGTCCGACCATGAGGAGTTCCAAGTCCAAACGGCCCTGAAGCCCTAAACCCTAAACCCTAAACCCTAAACCCTGAACTGTTACATCCTCCAACCCTCAACCTGAACCCCCACCCCGGAAGGTGAAGAGGTCTGGAACCATTCCAACAACACAGGCCCTGCTGCAGGACGAACCTTGCAGTGAGGGTGGGCGGCGAGGGAGGGGAAGTTTGCCGCTTCAGGGTTTAGGGACAGGGCTTTCGGGTTTAGGGTTTAGGGTTTAGCAGAGGCAGAAAGGGTTAAACGTAGAGTCTGAAGTTACAGCTGTATCCATGAATGGCCTGATGAGGGTACTCGCAAAACTTACGGTGTAACCCCACTTGCATCCCAAGTACGGAAGAGGTGCTATTGCCTAAGATGCCGTCCAGTTTAGGGTTCAGGGTTTAGGGTGCATATGCAGAATCCTGTTGATCATCGTTCAACATGTTTTGGGAGCCATGAGCCTCCAAGCAGCCCCTAAACCCTAAACCCAAACCCCAAATAAATATATAACACAGTAATATGGTATTCGATTAACATTGCATAAGATACCATAATATGGTATAATATAACAAAATATGGTATAATTTCACAGAATATGACATAATAAAACATAGTAGACTAGTCGAGTATTTGCATAACCACATAGCCATGGGCGTTTCGTCCGCCACAGGACCGCCTGAAGTTTGAAGAGCTTCCGCGCGGCATCTGGCGTTTTGCTCTTTTCTCTCCCACGCCCTGAATTCAAGAGCTTCAAACTCCTCTCAAAGTAGGGTTTAGGGTTTATGGTTTAGGATTCAGGGTGTAGAGTTTAGAGTTTCTTTGGGCTGTAAGGCCGGACATGACCCAACCCAGTAAGCCTCCCGGACCTCTCACAACAAAAGCGAAGATTCTGCGTGTGTTGTAGGAGTTTGAAGTTCCATGGTCCCCGTCCCTATATAAACCGATACAAAGCGCATAGACGCTGAATTGTTATATTGCTCTAAAGTCCAGGTAAGTAGGAAATTCTGACTATTTCGGGGCTGGGGTCTAGGATTTGGGTTGCAGCGTTCAGGCTGTTGTTGCGAAGAGGGTTGGCGGGGTCTGCGGGGACCTTCGTCGAGGGAGGCACTTTGCAGAAAGGGTTTAAACCCCAAACCCTAAAACCCTAAACCCTAAACCCTATAGATCCTAAACCCTAAACCCTAAACCTAAAACCCTAAACCCTAAACTTCAAACCCCAACCCTAAACCGTAAACCTAAAACCCTAAACCCTGAACCCTACACTTTAAGCCCCAAACCCTAAACCCTAAACCTGAAGGGCCGTTCATGGTGCAGGAGTTTGGGCTCAGGGGCGAGTTTGCTCTTCGAGCAAAGAGTGTTTTAGCCTTCAGGCTTCAGGGTTATCTGGGGCTACGGCTTCGGCGGCGTATGGTGTTTAGGGTTTAGGGTTTAGGGTTTAGGGTTCAGGCCCACCACCCGACTGCCAGCGAAAGCCTTGTTTTTTTGTTTCTCTTCCTGAGGCTAGACGCCGACTGCCTGGTGAACTGCGAGAGGTGCCAGGCGGGTACTATTCGACTGTTAGCATAAGGGGAACATCCCAGCCGCAAGCCCTCGACCTCAGCAGCAGGCTTGAGGGCTTTAAGGGTCAAAGGTTTGGTGTTCCAGTGCTTTCGCATCATGTTGGGGCTTAGGGGGTTCGGGTTCATCATGTCGAAGGTCAATGGAGGCCGCTGTGCGTGTTGGAGTTTAGGGTTTAGGGTTCAGGGTGTAGGGTTGAGGGATGAGCGTGTCTTCGAGAGTCGTGATGAGTGACCCTCACCCCCTCGTGGCTCCTGGCAGGACAAGCGACAGATGGGCAAGTGGTGCGAGATGCTCGCCTCGGCGATGAACATGGGATGTAGGGTAAGCCTTGAACCGCTGCGCCCCAAGCCCTAAACGTTGCGTAGGCCAGAAACCCTAGACCCTAAACCCTAAATCCTCAAGCCCCAAACCCTAAACCCTAGGCCCTAAACCCTAAACTCTAAATCCTAAACCCTAAACCCTAAACTCTAAACCCTAAACCAAAGCCTACAGCCTCTATTTCCGAGCTGCTGGACCTCACTGAAAACCCTATTGGGCTTGAGTCTCGTAAGCCGATGTAGCAGTGAGGGGAGACTATTGCTGTACACCCTAAACCCTAAACCCTAATTAACGACGAAGGGGGTCTGCTAGGCGGGTGGCAGAAAATTAACCCCTAAACCCTAAACACTAAACTTAAACTTAGACCCTAAGCCCTAAAACCATAAACCCTAAGCCCCAAAGCCTAAACCCTTAGCCCCAAACCCTAAACTTAAAAACCCTAAACCCCAAGCCCCCTATTGGGAGTTGCCCCCCCCACGAACTTCTAACGTTTCGGGTTTCAGGTAGTGTGAGAGGTTGCCAACCCGGTTCCTGTTTACGTGGAAGCCGCGTTTAAGCCCTCAAGAACCTTCTAGGGGCTTTCTAGGGTTTAGGGTTTAGGGTTTAGGGTTTAGGGTTTAGGGTAGGGCTTGTAGGGTTAAGTGTTCAGGGTTCAGGGCTTAGGGCTAATTTGTGACTGCAAAAAGGGCTTCGGGCTTGGGGCGGAGAAGCCGAGGATCGTGTCCCCACCAAGCCACCTCTGCATTTGCCACTCGCCGTGGGTTACAGAGTCTCATCCCCGAGAGAGAGTTCAATGGTTTGTAGATTGCGGCAGGTTGGATTGTGATTGATTGAATGGTGTCTTTTCTTGGCCTGGCCCATGACCCAAAGAGCCCAAGACCCCTCAAATAAAGGAAGATACCTCAATTTATACAAAAAGTCCTTGATGTGACTCAAGAATCTTTTTCTTTATTGAAGGGGTGTTGGGCTCTTCGGGCAGACGTTTCGGTAGTATTGCGCCCTAAACCCTCTTCCCCCGAAAGGTGCGCGGGGATTAGGGTTTAGGGTTTAGGGTTTAGGGTTTAGGGTTGCAGCATGCTTTCGAATGTCATGTGCCGGGGGGCCGAGGAGCTCAACGCCCTTGAGCATTAGGGGTTTCAACCCTAAACCCAAAACCCAAAACCCAAAACCCTAAACCCTAAACCCCAAACCCTCTCAGAAGGCCTCAGAGAGCCTCTGACTTCTTTATCGGAAGCCCCTTTGTGGGTTTCTGCGGCGCTGTTGCTGCGCTGACTGCAATGTGGGTAGTTTTTGTAAAGTAGGGTTTTGGGTTTAGGGTTTCGAGTTTAGGGTTTTTTTGGTTCTTCTCTTAGGGTTAACGGTACTTAAACTCCACAAGGAACAGAATGTTAGATTTTCATACTACGAACTAGATGTGGGGGACAGCGGAGGCCTGAATCGCTTCACCTTCAATGTGGAGAAGATGGACTTCACGAAGGTGTGGAACTGAGGGGTGAAAGACTTGAAGTTGGGATGTTCACCCTTTTTCTAACGGTCCTTAATGGGGACAATAGTACCTATGGGCTGTTAGCATAAGGGGAGGCTTGAGGGCTGGGATGTTCCCCCTTATACTAGCAGTCCTTAATAGGGATTATAGCTACCACCTATTCTAATAATCCCTATCAAGGACTGTTAGCATAGGGGGAAACATCCCAAAGCTTTGAATGGTTGCTTTTAGGGTGTTTGGGCTCTCCGGTTTGGGGTTTATTTGTTGCTGTGAAAATTTCAGTGGGCACGCACAAGAAATGCTCTTTTCTCTTTTCTCTTGCCGGTTCTTCCTTTATTGTCTCCTGGTTGGAGGTTCATGGGTACTTATATAACCCCAAATATCCGTCTATTTATGACTTAACCGATGCAGAGGATCTTATATGGTCAGTTGGGTGCCCTCAGAGGGGCCGCCTTATAATAAGGACTCCCAAAAGGAACCAACTTTGAGAGAACTACCCTAAACCCTAAATCCTAAACCCTAACACATAAATCCTGAAACCCTAAACCCTAAACCCGAATCCCTAAACCCTTAGGGTTGTAAATCCTCCAAGAGTTGACCCAGGAGAAGACGCCCGTCCGCGTCGATGGTGGCGTCACGATAGGCTGGACATCCTCTCCTTGTGCTAGGGTTTAGGGTTTTAGGGTTTAGGGTTTCGCGTTTAGGGGAGGGTTTAGGGTTTAGGGTTCAGTGCTCAGGGTTTTCTTTCTGTGCCTCCCTGCCGCTGTGCACGTTGTGGGAAGGTCCATATGAGTACGCGCTCTACCACGTCATCATTCACACAGGCTCGGCTTCTCTCGACGCCAAATCGCCAGGACGGCGCCAGTCGTCAGCCCGAAGCAAAGTGCTCCTTCTGCTTGGTTCCTCCGCACCCTGCTTTGAGTAGCTTGCCCCTTGTGGCACTGTTCCCGTAGTATCTGACGCCCAGCCGACGCAGTGGTAACTAGTACTTTATTACTGCGCCCTCAGGTTACACGTACCTGCAATCTTGGCAAAGCCCATGTTAGAGGTCAGTGGCAACCCTACATAATTTGGGATGTTACCCAATCTCCTAACAATCCTTAATAGGGATTATAGTGCATCCTACTATAGTCCCTATTAAGGACTGTTAGTATAAGGGTGAACATCCCAATATATAATGGTCTTTGCAACTTCCGTGGCTTTACCTCATCCCTGCAAGCGCGTCTGATGGAAGCCTGTGCAGCAGAACCTGCAGTTCACCAGCACTTAGGATTTAGGGTTTAGGGTTCAGGGTTTAGGACTACACACTCCGTTGGCAGGCAAAGATGCGTCCAGCGGGCACTACTACGCGGTCGGCAGACGATCCGAGCCTGTTGCTCCTCCTCTGAGTTGGTTGGCTTGGTCTGGATGCTGTCAAAGCCCCCCCCAAGAACCCCTGCAAAACGCCCTAAACCCTAAACCCTAAACCCTAAACCCTAAACCCTAAACCCTAAACCCTAAACCCTAAACCCTAAACCCTAAACCCTAAACCCTAAACCCTAAACCCTAAACCCTACACCCTAAACCCGAAACCTTAAACCCTAAACCCTAAACCCTAAACCCTAAACCCTAAACCCTAAACCATAAACTAAACCCTAAACCCTAAACCCTAAACCCTACACCCTAAACCCGAAACCTTAAACCTGACTAAACCCTTCATCAGCTTTAGGCAGCCAAGGCTTCTCACAAGGTAGGGTTTAGGGTTCAGGGTTTAGGGTTTTGCAAAATGGGTTTAGGGTTTCGGGCTTAGGGTTTAGTTCCTTGAGATTTTGAGGGCGGGCGCCTGGCTCCCTTTGTTATGGGCTCATATTTAGTCGTTTCTCTTGAGCTAGTGCCCCTTTTGGGGTTACTATTCTGAGGCGGCCCCGAATACCTAGGGCACCAGAAACGGACCATCATTTTGAGAACTGAGCCCCGCATATAGGCGTTGAAGGTATTTGAAGGTTCATGGTACTTGTTATCCTGTTATAACTGTGCTTAGAAACTGTACTTGTAACCAAGTACAGCTATAATTGGTTAATGTGTACCGCTAAACCCTAAACCCTAAACCCTAAACCCTAAACACTAAACCCTAAACCCTAAACCCTAAACCCTAAACCCTAAACCCTAAACCCTAAACCCTAGACCCTCAACCCTAGACCCTAAACCCTCATGAACCCCCAAGTAGGGCCGAGAGTCTTCAGTTGGTGCTCCAGGCGTCGGGAGACCAGGGCTGGCGCCACGATGGCAAGGAGGCTTAGGTTCGTCGGTGGCCTTGGGGTTGTGGGGGGAGGAGGGTTTAGGGGGATTAGGGTTTAGGGTATATGGGGTGTAGGGTTGAGGTTTTGGGTTGAGTGCGTAGGGTTCGTTTGAGGGCCTTGGGTTTGTAGGGTTGGGGGTCTGGGTGTAGTGTTTGGTATCGTCTTCGCTTGAGGGTACCCGGCTGGTCTTGTGTCAGGAGCCTTTTTTCCAGAGCCTAATCCACAAACGCCTCCCGACCCACCCTTTCAACCCCCAACTCCCCAAGCCCGTGGGACCTTAAACCCTACACCCTACACCCTAGACCCTAAACCCTAAACCCTGAACCCTGAACCCTGAGCCGAGAGCCTTGTTTGGTGGGATCCCAGCCATGAGCCTTTGGTCCACCAAAGCGGAAGGGTGGGGACGGGGGGGGGGGGGGGCTCAGGAGCAACAGGAGTGTTGCTCTTGTTTTCTCTCGGGTTTCGGGTCTGAAGCTGCTTGCGTCGAGTGGCACCGGCTCCGTGTTTTTTTGGTTGGGGTGGTGTCATGCTTCCACACTGCGCCACTGTTGGAGCCCTTGCAGGTTTAGGGTTTAGGGCTAGGGTTCCAGAGATTTCAGGGATTTCAGGGATTTCAAGGATTTCAGGGATTTAGGAATTTAGGGATATAGGGATACTTAGGGATGTACGGACTTAGGTATATTTAGGGATGTTGGGATCTATATGGATTTAGGGTTTTTAGGGATTAGGGGGCCCCCCCTTCGGGTCCCAGGTACACCATGGACGACTCCCAGATCAAGCCCGCCGAGCTGGGCCTGCTCCTGGGCTTTCTTCTGGCTCTTAAAGCTCTTAAAACCCTCAACCCTCAACCCTCAACCCTCAACCCTCAACCCTCAACCCTCAACCCTCAACCCTCAACCCTCAACCCTCAACCCTCAACCCTCAACCCTCGACCCTCAACCCTCAACCCTCAACCCTCAACCCTCAACCCTCAACCCTCAACCCTCAACCCTCAACCCTCAACCCTCAACCCTAAACCCTAAACCCTAAACCCTAAACCCTAAACCCCTAACCCCTAAACCCTAAACCCTAAACCAAGGCTCCAGGGCAACCCGCCCGAAAAGCTCAAGGACGACAACCCGCGCCTGGGCCCGCAAGTGGGGTTTAGGGCTTGGGATTGTGAAAAGATTTTTTCGAAATAGCAATCATTTTGTTTATTTTTCATTCTGATTCTTTTTTCAGTAAAAACACTCCAAACTATTTGTTTTTGATCGTTTTAACCACAAATACCTCGCGATAATAATTCGATCTGATCGTGCAACATTTGTTTTGTTTGAGGGGCCCACGAAGTGGGGTTGAGGGCTTGGGATTGTGAAGTTTCGGGCCAGGGGTTAGGGTTTTGGTTGAAGCTTGATTTCGATAACCGTTTTTGGTAGGCTGCCTAAGACACCTTTAAGGCTGCTGTCGTACTGGAGGAAAGTAGGTTTTTGGAAATTGTTCAGGTGAGCCCGAAGCCCTACGTCCCCAGGTACGTGCTGTTCTATCGGTGCACCAACGCACCCGCAACGCCACCGCTGCGGATACCGAAGAAGATGGAGAGCTACGTCAAGAAGGCTTGCGGGGGAACTAAAGGGTTGAGGCCCCGTTGAGGCTATAGGGCTTCGGGTGCAGGCGGGAGTCGTGCCCGGGGGGTCCTAGTTGAAGAAATGGACTTTTAGGGTACTGAGCCGAACCCTAAACCCTAAACCCTAAACCCTAAACCCTAAACCCTAAACCCTAAACCCTAAACCCTAAACCCTAAACCCTAAACCCTAAACCCTAAACCCTAAACCCTAAACCCTAAACCCTAAACCCTAAACCCTAACTTGCTGACGAGGAAGATGCCAAGCGGACCGAGTGAGCTGCCGGCAGGCGTTGTGGTCTTGAGGGTTTACTTGCGTACTGGCTCTTCTTCGGGAATTTGGGGAACGACTTGCCCGCTACACTCCTTTGCACGTCGAGGCGTGCGTATATATGAATATACATATGAATCCATAAATTATTTAGAAAATACCTATAAATATAATTCGTTAAAATAATTAGTATATATATATATATAGATATAAAGTTTCTGTATATATGTGTGTCTATATATACACGCACATGTGTGTAGATCGGGGGAAAGTGAGGATCTAGGGATCCTTGGCAGGGTCGAGGGGTGGATGACTCTTGCCCTGAGTTCCGGAACCATCGCAGCGGTTCGTGCGGGGTAACTTGGGTTAGAGCCGGCTGTACCATGTTGTAAAGGGTACTTCGAGTTCTACCCCGAAGCAGGCTTAAAGTTGGGATTGTGCCTTCAAGCCCGCAAGAATGAGGGGCAGACCTCACCCTAAACCCTACTGCTCAGCAGTAGTACGAGGTTTGAAAGCCAAGTCAAGGGGGTCTGAGGATCTCAGCGTAGACAAAGCCCCCCCCCAAAAACGCCCCAAAGGGGCCTGAGTAGGCGTACGCGGGGGAGACTCCCTTCAGACTGCGGGGATCTCCGCGAAGAAGCACCATCCAGAAACATCCCAAACCTCCTGCGTTCGCTTGGGGAGGAGCCCTGAAATCGCGGGCCCCAAGTGTGCAGGCTCAGAATGTCTTGGCCAGGAGTGAGTACAGAAATGTGCGGTGAGCACAGCAGCTGTCCATGTTGGGTTGGCCCAGGGTGTGGGGGTTGTCCCGGAGAGCCCAAGGCCCCTTACCTAAAGCGTAGCCCGTGGTCGGTAGTAAACGATCGGGTTGAAGGGAGAAAGTTGCAGTTCGCAAAAAATCTGGTATCTTTTTTGGGGGGTAGCTAGCTTAAGTGTAGGGCTGCGTATGAACATTTAAACTAGGAGCCCCCCAAACAATTTAGAGAACGGCCGTCTATTCCTTGATTGTGCCTAGGATGTGGGGCCCGAAATCCTCTAGGGTTCCAAGTATGGGCCCCTTAATTTGGGTCCTGTGAGATAACCCTTATTTTCACTATACATAATGCATATAAAGTGTATATCATATATGCAATGTTTACATTCTATACTTGTTTCTTATTCAAAATGTTCATCTGCTTCATTGTTGCGTCACATATGTAGTTTTTCGATCTCCTACACATTCATGTTCAAACAGAAGAACAATACATGTACTGGAATTTAAAAACACATATGTTGCAGCACTATTCTGATAATATTGAATCATTTAGACATTGCAGTGTACAAAAAAATGAACATTTAAAGGTGCAAACCTCAGATTTCGTTGTCATCATAAGATAAAAAGTTTTTTCGTAAACAAAGATAAATCCATTCTTGACTTGAAATATAATTTGTTAATGGGAAGACTATTTCCCATGATGAGGGCCCATAAATCGGATCCCTATAAACAGGACCACACAAAGCGCCCATAGTTCCCCAGCAGTGTGGTTGCAAGGCTTGGTATCCCCAAACCCCAAACCCTAAACCCTAAACCCTAAACCCTAAACCCTAAACCCTAAATCCTAAACCCTATGCCTTAAACCCTAAACCCATGGACCTTTTGCAATACAAGAGAGCGCCCCCCTCCACCAACCTTGCCGGACAGCCATCGCTTTGTGGTGGTGGGCCTTCGAGCCAAAGGCTCTATCCCCCGCCTCCATGGTTTCTAGCCTGGGTTTAGGGTTTAGGGTTTATATACGGTTTAGGGCTTAGGGTTAAGGGTTTAGGGCCTCAAGCCCCTGAATCAAGAAAGGCGCTATCCCCTGCACGATACTAGGAGTTGCTAGGGCCCTATGATTGCGGAATGTTCAGGAGATGTAAACCTTGAACACTAAGCCCAAGCAGAAACCCTAAACCCTAAACCCCAAACCCCAAACCCCAAACCCGCAACCCTAGCACTGGGTTCCCTGGGTAGGCGTTTATTAGGCGGGTGGCAGGCGGCTGCGACCTCCAGAGCAACCTTTAGAACTACCTGTGACCCCAAAAAACGGCAGTAGCCCACGCAGTTCGCGTGTAGGGTTTCGGGTTTAGGGTTTAGGGTTTCGGGTTTCTGGGTTTCGGGATTGGTGTAACCTTCCAAGGAAGAGCATGCAGTTGGGTTGAGATCAGGCATCTGGCAACCTCCGGAAGATAAGAATCCCTTCACAACCTTGCTTGGAAGTTCATGGTACTTATGAACCCGCACGAATAACGGTACTTATAACCATGTTGGCACCTCAGGGGCTTACAAGTGGGTTTTAAGTACAGGTATAATTGGCTAATGAGTGCCATGAACCTCCAAGTGCCCCCAAACCCCTGAGGGCCTGGACTGCGCGCGCCGGTGTTGGAGTCCCCAACCCTCAGCCCTCAGCCCTTTCTACACCCTAAACCCCAAGCCCTAAACCCTAAACCCCAAGTCCCAAGCCCTAAACCCCAAACCCCCAAAGCCCTAAATGCTCAGCCGCAAACCCGCGGCAGCCGAACCGGCGTGCTGCGGGGTCAGCAGCCGCCTGCGGCCTGCCTCGTTTCGAAGATCGACCTAAGGGGCTCCCTGTGGCTTGCGGTTTAGGGTTTAGGGTTTAGGGTTTAGAGTTTAGGGTTTGCGGTGGCTGGCTTGTGGCTTTGAGTTGCGGCTTTTCAGGGTTTACTACTTGCTCCAGAACTCCAAAAAACTAGAGAATGATAATCCCTATGTTGCCCTTACAAGGAATATTTTTTGTATTTCGTTTTCGGTAGAATTTTTTTGGGTTCTTCAGCAAATAGTTGTTTAGGGGACCTTGGTGAGTTCCTCGTAGTCTGAAGAAAAAGGGACAGCGTACGGGAGTGTTGGTTGGTACCGGCATCATCCCGTCACAATCCTATCTGAAGACAACCGAAATACCCATGGTAATTTGTATTCGAACAGGCCCCTAGATGATAACGTGTAGAGTTGAGAGTTTAGGATGTTCACCCGAAAGAGTCGCATCAGTTCGGCTTTTGCGCGGCGTCCCAAGCATAAGCTAAAGGGGCCCCCTGGGCATCTTTGCTAGGTTTTCCTTTTGTGGCCAGATGTTCGAGGGCAGAGGTGGAGACCGGCAAGCCAAACAAGTTGCAATCTAAACCCAAACCAAAGCCCCAACACCCTGAACCGTCAAGGTCCCCTGAAATGCCAAGATCGCCTCCTAAACCCTAAACCCTAAGCCGCCCTAAACCCTGAACCCTAAACACGAAACCTTAAACCCTAAACCCTAAACCCTAAACCCTAAACCCTAAACCCTAAACCCTAAACCCTAAACCCTAAACCCTGCAGGCGGGTTCAGTTGCAAGGGTGTGTTTTGGGTTTAGGAAGTGGTTACTGAGGCCCGGACGTCACCTGCCGCGAACGGAAATGCTGTTAAATGCTGTTATTTGCAGGTGTTTTCGATGCAGTGACTGTACACCTTCTTTTTAGCAACATGTTATGGATGTTACTCTTGATGACGGAACGCGCTAGGCGCGTTCCGTGACAGCCTGTTCCTGGTTTTTGCTTGTCTTCTGGGTGGGGCTTGGGGGGGGGGGGGGATAGGTGCCCCAATTCTTCTCTTTCATCTGGCTCCGCGTGCAAGTGCCATGTTCAGGTCTTCGTACTGCTCCTTAATGTTAGCTGGCAAGGTGCTGTACAATCCCATGGGGAAGGGCCAGTTCCAAAAGCACAACCGCTTCTGGTCTCGTCCCCGCTTCCAGAAGCCGCTGCATCGCAGCAATATGGCTCCCTTTGAGGGGCCGGAGCGCACGACATGGACTTGAAGGCTCCACTTTGTGTGGCGCGGACAGCCGCCCCATTTGAAGCGCCGCTGTCGATCTGCAACAGCAGGCACGCTATACTTTATCAAACCTCGCTCCTGCTGTAGCTGCTCTTCTACTTCTGGCGGTATCTCATTCATGTTTGAGGAGTCTGCCTCAACTTCGGGGCTGAAGTCTTCGATGAAATCATCACATTCACCAGAGTCTTCCACGCGGTCTTCGCATGGCACGCTAGGACCACTTGTGCTACTACTCGCTGCGCTACTCAGGAGCACATGTGGATTCCACGCAGCCTTCTTCTGAAGCTTCGTGATTCCGGAGGTCTGTGCGACGTGCCACCTCTTGTACTTCTTTGTCCATGGGCTGTCCAGAATGTTCTCTTGGCTTGGTGTCTCCTGTCAGGGATGACTCACATCATGCCATAACACGTCACCTGACAACAGGGCTGCAAGCCTGCAGCGCGTGGCTGAGAAAGTGTAGGTCATCTCGTGCTAAGTCTTCTTCGGCCTGGCAGACATGAGAGACATTCAAAAAACCTCTACTCCAACCTTGTCGGGGGGGGGACACTACTCAGCAGCACGGATCAAACGCAGGTGCGTGTGCAGTGTTTTTGTTCCCCATGCTGAGCTCTTGCTCCACCCCATGCCTTTGCTCGCAGTAGACTGGACATCTCGTCAGCATCAGCTGCGTCAGGCTTCATCCCGAAAGGCCTGAGCAAGCAGTTCCCTGCGGCGCTTTGCGCTCGGGAAATGTGTTCTCAGCCACCAACTGTACAAGTACGCCCACAGGTGCGGGCAAAAAGTAGGCGTCTTGGCTTCCTTGCTGCTACCGTTCAAGCTCTTTGGGATGTATTGTTTGATGCCAGACCACCGCTGGTCTATCAAACCAGTGTTTACATTGATCGTGCCTCGGCCACTGATGCGCTGCTTCTTGGCAAACTGACCCTTGGAGTGGACAACGTACCGATGCTTGAGGCTATGCTCCTTGGCAAGCCGCTCATACAGCTGGGCGCCGTCCGTCACAAGTAAGCTGGCGACCTTGCCGCTGTCGGTCTCTTGGCTGACGAGATGCTCTAAGCCTCTGCAGGACAAGACGTCAGCTCTGCTTTCTACAGGGCACACAGCGTTGTGCGCCACTTGCTTCACAGGCATCATGTACACGACCATCCGCGGCGGCTGCTGGTTCTGCGGCC